AATACCGCATCGGGGCGATGGGTTGAAGGTCCCTTTCACACGTCCAGAAGGACAGGGTTGCCTTCGATATCTCTTGGAACCGTAAAGGGTCCAGTGTTCGCACAGATCTTCTGCTCAGCTGTCATGAGTGACCAATGTGCTTCATCAAGAACGAGATCAGCTTGGTGATCATCGTAAGATCTGGTCCTCTGAGAGTCTTCCGATTCTCCATCTTCCTGGTCAGTAAATCTCATGGTTTTTTCTGAACTTCCAGTGCCGGATGAGGTTGGAACATGAGGGGTCAGTTCTTTGGGTCAGTTCTTCCTCACTTTCATATTGTACCGGCAAATTTGCTGGATTGTTCGGATTGTAATTGGATGAAGACGCAGGTTCATTTCTGGGAGAATGCTCAGGTGACTCATCGTTGTCATCTGGCTTCTTCTTCTTCTTCTTCCCAGTCTTCTGCTTCTTGGACGGACTGCCGGGTGTTTCTTCTTGCTCAAGTGTTGGCAGTTCAAGATCTTCATCATGGTCTTCTGCTTCGGGATTTGTGAGAATCGCAGGTGGTGAAGGCACCACGACAGTCGGAAGAATTGGCTGAGATGATTGCGACTGTGACGGCAAAGACACATCGCCCCCCAGGCGATTGAGTCCGCTTGAGGATGAAATGGACTCCGGCGCATCTGAGAATGATTGATGAACGGATGAAAACATCACAATCATAATTCTCCCAATTGCATTTGGATGCAGGCAAGACCCAAATCCTATTCAGCTAATCAGGTTGCCAGAAGGATATGATCGCATCGTCCGGAGGTGACGTAATGGGCATGTTGATGCCGATGGTGTGGACGAATGCCGTGCATGCATCATACTGAGTGGATGAAATGCACAACTGTCTCAACTTCTTGCAACCATTCCACATGTTCTGACATCGCCAGTCATTCGGATCTTGTTTGAAGATATCGATTTCAGTGCCCGGTGGGTACTGCCTCATCGTCTTTTGAAACTTCTGGACTAGCGGATCTTGGATGACCAATGGTTGAACGTCCTTGTTGAACGGCAGGTCTTGAATTCTGACCGTAAGACTAGCTGGTCATGTTGAACTCCTTGTCGATGGCTTCCATCTCCTTCCTCAGAATGTCAACCTGCTTGATGGTGAATGGTTCGAAAAGGTCCTCCAAGAGGTACACCTCGTTGTCAAGCGGTTTCACCTTCAAGTGTCTGAGGAGGATGTGGGCGAGATCCTGGCAGAAGTGGTAAGGATAAACCTGTGCCAGCTTGGCTCTGCTTCCGAAAGTACCAGCGTTTCCCTCGAGGGGTTGGTGTTCATGCTTGACTGAGCTGGTAGAATTTTTACACCTTCTCAAGATCGGTCTCATTACCTCTGGAGGTAAGCAGTGCATGCTGAGCCCGGATTCAGGATCTTTCAGTCCGTATGCGCAGAAATGGAAATCTCCCCAGATCACGGATGGATCTGAAAACAGTTGCTGCATACAATTCAGATACCATATCTTGGATGTCTGAGGATTTTCAATGATGAAATATCTTCCGTGCTTCAGCTGATATCTCGCAATGGATGCCACAAATTCAACCATGGGAAGATAGCGTTTCCGCTTCTCCCAGACTCTTTGTTGGTCTTATTGGATGTTCTGCATGTTTGACCACGGCCCACAGACCGGTGCCATGAGGATTACATCAGGTGCTTGCTCTCTGATGATCTACATGACCATGTGTTGTCCCGGATGTCATTACGTCGAATCCGGTGCGGATGTCTACGGGAGTCCCAACCTTAAGACCTGAGAGTGCACAGCATTGACTGAATCTGGCACTTCCTGCAAAGATCTCGAGAACGTGGATCTTTCCTTTACGTACACAATTCCAGTGCGCTTGTTCAGGAATGGATGTGAGGTCCTCGACGAACATGTTCTCTGCCAGATGAGGTGCTGCAGGTTTGGGAGTTGTTTTTCCCGCGATGCGCTCAAGGATCCAATGGTCCTGCTTCTGAGACCCAACGATTTTAGGAGTTGCTAGGTCCTCCTTCGTCTCGGATGATTTTGCTGCACAAACAGTTTCACTCTTGGAGATATCCCCGGAGGGAAACTTGATGCTGTTATCATCATCATAGACGTAGTTGGTGAGGCCCTTATGAGCAATTTCTCCATGTGCCTTCACTCTTGCAACTCCAGCGAGATCGACGAGTGCATGTCCTGTACCGGATACCGGAACTGCTTGCCAGTTCATGCCTAAAGCCTTGCATGTGATTTTGTCACATTGAGGTGTGTGCTCTATGGTCATGTAGAGGTTCCGCATCTGACTGATGCTGAGGAGGATCGGTACAGTTCCTTGTTCAAGGATGTCGATGTTGGTACTGCATGGAGGAGTTGTGTGATATCGAAGATGCAGGGTCCAATTTACCCTGGCTGTTTCTCCATTTGCAAAAGTGAACTTGGTCTCGGCCGGGATGTGCTGATAGGAGATGATGTCCTTCATTGGTTCGATGGCCTGAGTAAAACGCTGGATTGCATGCCAGCTGCCCATGGATCTGGTACATCCGTTGTCCAGGATCGCATAGGTTGGATTGTGCTGAGGGTTGATGACAGGCGCCATCAGCTTTGTTGCCAAAAGGCTGTGATTTGTTGTGACGGACAAATTGTGTTCTGAAACTGCATTTGGTTGGATCAGCTTCCCGTGGATGGCCTCTTTCTCATGATGCTCATATGCGTCATGGAATGCCATTAGCGCTTGTCCTGTACTGGATGTCTCATGGGATGAGTACCAGCTTTTTTCGTTCCATGTCCATGATTGATCCCAATCTCGGTCTGTCCAACCGAAGGATTCATGTCAAACAACGATGAGGAGACGTTCTGGGTTTTCGAGGAGAACGATGCGTTCATCGCAAGAAAAGTGTCAAGGCGGAATTTCAGATTCAAGAAGAGAAAAGGAAAAGGAAAATCAGGAAACAAAAAGGGCAGTCACCAACGAGGTGGCTTTAAACCCTTCAGCAAAAGCGGTTCTGGCGGGAAGGCCAATATGGCCAATGAGAACTATGATCCCTACGACCAGGCATATTGGGGAAAAGGGAAAGGAAAGAAGGGAAAGAAAGGAAAATCAAAATTCCAATATCCTCATAGAAACAAAGGTTACCCATCTTCTGAGAATGGCAAAGGAAAGGGCGGACATGACAAAGGAAAATCCAAGACGTTCGCAGCCACCGCAGAAAAGACGGAGGAGCAGCCCGCCGTCCAGCAGACTGCACCATCCATAGAGCCTACCTATGCCAAGTCCTTCTTCATCCTCAACCCAAAAGCCTTCTTCTCCTTCATATTCTCCTTGTTCGATGATGAAGAATGTGTTGCTTCGGTTGCCTCCTTGAGGTCGGATGGATGGATCTTGAATGGATGTCCTGGTCGTGATGAAGAGTTCATGGTAGTGTGTCTTCAGCATCTCATAGGAGTAGTTCTCTAGTGAGATGTTTCTCAATGACATTGCACTTGTCAGTCTCTCTCTTTGTTGATCTGACAATTCACTCTGAATGATGAAAAACTGTGCAATGAGACTACCCTCAAAGGGAAATGCGTCCCGCTGTCTGTCCTGCATTCCTTGGATATACTGTCTGAGGACTACTGGATCATCCTCATTGAGCAGGGCTGGAGGCGGTGCTTGAACACCGGCTGCTTGCTGATGTCGAGCAATTGTTCTTGCATTTGCGTCCTGTGCGGACTGTCGAAATGATGGGGACTGTGCCGTGAAAACGGGCATCAAGTCCATCCATGCTGCCTTCAATCTCATAAGAAGGATTTCGAATTTTGATGTAAAAATGAGGAACTCTTGGTTCTGCCTTCGATGATTGAAGAAACTGAGGAGCCTGTACAGATACACGTTGGTCGCACCTTTCAAAAAGTACTTCTTCAGCGTGTTCTTGAAATAGTTGACTCCTTCATCAGGATCTTGCAAAAGGTCGTTTTGGAGGACTGCCTTATACATATATGCATCTCCGGTCAATCTGCTCTTGAGCAGAGGTCCTCTCTTGGGTGCTTCCACCGTAGTGATTGTCGCCCAGTCGTCCACGAGTTCTTCATACCTGAACCATTTTCCGTCGTACGATGGCGGCTGCTTGGCGGTCATCGATAAATTGAGTGTTTTCTCCGTATAGCCTTGTGGTTTGGCCATACTTGAATAGGCTTCCATGAAGCCTTCTCCATCGGATGACATCTTCCCTTGGATCTCTGCGGAAAACCCGCTCCGCTACCACAAAGCCTCAGGAGCCTATCCCAGAAGGGAACTGGTACCCTGTGGTAGTCGAGGTCGTTGATTTGGTCCCTGAATCTATTCTGGAGGGAGTCCAATATGCCAATATGGATGATTGGAGGAGGATTGTCCCTGGTGGCTTGACTTGACTAATATTCCTGCCAGCAGTCTCTGCAAGCCTTTGTACTGCTATCGCATGAATGAAATATGCTATATACAAGAGGGCCTTGAGCCAAATGGTTGCAGGAGATCAATGGTGTAACAAACCAAACACAGGGGGGGGTTGGTTTGGGGGGGGTGGTTTTTCGTTTTTTTTTGTTGGTTGGGGTGGGGTGGGGGGAGGTTTGGTTTGGGGGTCTGCAATGGATTTGTGTGCAACTTTTTTGGCTTTTGGATTTTGCCCCTAAGGTTCAGTTTGCGGGGTTTAATTAAGCAAGAGTTTGACCAACTCTGGCTTTTCTGCCTTTTTCGGCGCGCACGTGTGTGTGGGATCACTTGAGAGTCGGAGATCTTGGATTGGTCAAACAGAAGACCTCGCTGCTGCAGTGGTTTTTATTTTCCTGACTGCCTAGATCCTTCTGCACAGACTCATGGCACTTCCGGCTCGTGCAGTGAAAGCAGCTCCAGTGACTCCGGATTTGCTTTTCACTCACGGCATGTCCGACTGGTCCGGACGTATGCTAGCAAGGGAGCGGATCTTCAGAATGTGAAAGATCGTTGGCGACAGCTTTTGTTCCCTCAGAGTGTCGCCACGACACATTCCCGCGACTCAGGATGCTGGGATCAAGCTCGCCGCTTCGAAAGGCGCCGCTGTGTTCGACCTGCGAAGCGTGGGCTGTTGGAACGGCTATGGCCTTTGAGTCGCTGTGCTTTCACTTTCCGGTTTCTGTGATTGATTCTTTTTCTAGGGGTCAAGTTTATTTAGAATTGTCAGGGCTTATGTCTGGGCAGTGGCAGTGATTTGTCTCAGATAACATCCGCTTTGCTGGGTTTGTAGTCTTGAATGTATAACCATGTTTGGTCAAGTCCTTGGTAAACAACTCCTAGCAACCTGGAATACTGCCGATGTGAGGAACCTGTACTGGCTCAGACCGACTTCTATGTGTACTGTGTGAGTTTGACTTCGAACCAAGCCAAGTGAGACAGGCTTTCTGTGGGCTTCATGTGATGGCATGGTTTAATTTCGACTGGACATGTTTGCGGACCTTGGTTGGGAACAAAAGCAAGTATAGTCGATCTAATGCTCTAGTTCCCCAAAACTGCACAAATTTGACCGATGTATTGCAATCAGGATTCAAAATGCAACGTCACACACTACAGACAACAGGAGCAGTTGTGTATCGAACAAGTAAATAGATAGACAAGTTTTTTTTTGTATGTGCCTTTTCTCAGTATTTCAAAGTTTTGCCGTGTCCCACCCCCGTTTATGTGACGCAACGTGGGGGAAGGTGGCTTGCAGACAGGAGCAGCTTGCAATTTGCACCAGTTGCGGTATATGGCTTTGTATTGCAAAGCCTTGCTCACGACTCGTGGCTTGCGAGTCCGCAGGCTGGAGCTGTAAGGAGATGACCCTCAATGTGACGTTGAGGAGGGGAAGGAAGGTCTTGCGTCGACCGCGTTGAGACCATTCGCAATGGGAGTGGGAAACAGAGCCGCTGTTTGGAGCTATTGTACCTAGAACCGCATGCTGCTCGTGGCGAGACAGCTTTGCCACCAATTCCGCCCCACGGACTCCCATCCGAATGTTCAGATCCTCTCCTTTGCCGACACCAAGTGTCCACACCATTTGCACCATGAACCAAGCCAAAAACCACCTCCATTTCCCACAGCTCCGGGCCTTGGGCCCCCCCGAGTCGAGGAATTTGCCCGCCATCCGCTTCTACGAGAGCCAAGGCTTCAAGCCCGGCGGGCCTCCGAAGCGCGTGGCGCCCCAGACCTGAGGGCATGCGCTTGAGAGCGTGCTGTGACCTTTGGGGTTTCGAAGATAGGCAGTCTTTGGAAAAAATGCACCAAAAAAGCGAAGATGTTAGGCAGTCTTTGGACAAAAGGCACCAAGCAGCGCAAAAATCTGCTCAAAAGCGCAAAGCCCTCACTCACAGCCGGAACTGGATTGGCCAGTGTATTGAGGCTTCGCAAGACCGGATCTATTTTTTGCAGCTTTGAGCAACACTGCAGTTTGGCCGGATCAGGATACGTTAAACCTGAAGCAATCTTCATGTGTTAAGTTGTTCTGACACTCGAAACGAGCTTTCCTTCAACAGCTGGCTGGGCTGCTGCTCCATTTGAGCTACGTTTGAATCGCTTGTTTTTCGCATTCTGTTGCACGCGCTTTGCCGTGATTTGTTGGCTGTCCAACTTTTCTTATTTTTCCATTTTGTTTGGCTTTGCTGCCAGCACTTTGATGGTTCCGACCGTTCTGGATTGCGTTTTGATGCTTGTTTGTTCCGTACAGTCTAAACCCTGTTGAGGGTTTAGTGCCAAACAGCTTGATATTTGTCAGGCCGTGTTCATTCTCTGGGTGATCCTTGCCTTGTTTTTCTTTTGTTTTGAATTCTGGTGGTTGTTGATATTGGTTGATCTGCTCGAAGAGCTGGTCTTATGTGTGATTCTCAGGCCTAAAGTCGGCCTTCGCTGAATGGATGTCAATGCGCAAGCCGTTGTAACTTTCAAAGAAACATATCTAAATCAATTATATAAATTGCAATCTCTCAATAATCATATATAGATTTATATTTCTATTAATTTAATGAAATAACACTTACCTAATAACATGTTGATTAAATATAATTTTGACATTTTTTTTCTTTTGGTCCGATTTTTTTTTTGAATTATATTTTTAGTTTTTTTTTTTTTTTTATTATTGATATTTATATATGTTGATTTGTATATATTAATTTATTAGAATTTATAGTACCGGTTAAATTTTCCCGAAGTTTGGGTTAGACTTTGGCGGCTTTTTACAAAAATTACCGGGCCAAATTTTGGGGAAATTTGGGGGGATTTGTCCGAATTGAAATTTCTCGAATATTTTGTGGCCGGTGTTTCCATATCTTTGTTTTTTTTTGTTTTTAGTTTGTTGCCGTGTATTCGTATTTATTTATTTCATAATCTCTGTTTTTCTCTGTTTATTTTTGTGCATCTTTATATATCCTAATTTGTTTCTTTTTGGTGTTTGTGCCTCTCTATTTCTATTTGTTTGTTTGTGTCTTTTTGTTTCTGGGTTGTTTCGGTTTGTCTTTGTTTGTTTTTATGTGTTTTTTTTTTGTGTCTCTTTGTTTATTTCTATGTATCCGTGTCTGTTTATTTGGTAATGTTTTGATAGAGATGATTCTGCATACACACCTGTTTGTTTTCACATTTCGGGGTCCAAAAACCCCCGGACAAACCCCGGACAACACTCCGGACAGCTTTGAGGGCCTAAAATCGTCGGTATAACTCCCCGGACAAATCCCCGGACAGCCCTTCGGACAGCTTTGCGGGCCCAAAAGCCCGGGATAAACCCCCGGACAAACCCCCGGACAAACCCCCGGACAAATTCCCGGACAACCCTCCGGACAGCTTTGAGGACCCAAAAGCCCGGGATCAATCCCCAACCCTCCAGGACAAGCCCCGGATAAGTCTTCGGACAGATTTGGAACACGTCAAAACCACTCAAAAACCATTCGAAAACCATTCGGAAACCACTCGGAACCCGCTCAAAACCGCTCGGAAACCACTCGGCGGGAAATATTCTCGCGGGAGGGGACAACCTCCGGACAACCCTCCGGACAACCCCCCGGACAACTTGCCGGACAATTGTTTGTCCAGCAGTTTGTCCCGCACTTTGTCCGGCACTTTGTCCCGCACTCTGTCCCGCATAGAGGGGGGTGTTTATGCAGAAGGGCATTCGTTAAGTAATGTCTATTTATCTCAGTCTTTGTTTTTATCTTTTTGTCTGGTTGCGTCTGTTTCTATGGGTCGGTTCACAAAGATGGTGTATTTCCACGTTGCCGCATATTGCATCTCTCTTTTTTAAGCTCCGCTTGTTACTTTTCATTTTGATTTGCTTTTCATTTTTGATTGTTTTTAGCATTGTTCTTGTTTATTTACTTTCTTTTTTCTCTTTTTATTGTTTTTTTTTTTCTTTCTTTTTTTTTTTTTTTCCTTTTTCTCTCTCTTCCTTTTTCTTTTTTTGTTTTTGTTTTTACTTTCTTTCTTTTTTTTTTTTTTTCTCTCTCTTTCTTTTTCTTTTTCTTTTCTCTTTATCTCTCTCTTTCCTTTTCTTTTTTCTTTTTCTTTCTCTCTTTTTTTTCTCTCTCTCTTTTGTTTTTCTCTTTTTTTCCTTTTTCTTTTTCTCTTTCTCTATTTCTTTTTTTCTATCTTTTTTTCTTTTTCTTTTTCTTTTTCTTTTTTAAAGAGAGAATGAAAGAATAAATAAATAAATACACATTTCTTTTTTTTCCACCTGGTGCTGCTTTATCGCCCATAGGCTGAGGGATAGCTTGTCTAGGTTTTGTTGGGGCATCGATTGGTGTTTGACGGGGCTAGAGACACTCTTGGGGAACTATTGTTTCCACTTCGGGCATTTTTGCTGGTAGCAATTCCTCTTGTTATGGGTCTGTTTTCCTTTTTTTTTCTTTCCTTTTTTCTCTTTTTTTCTATCTCTTTCTCTTTCTTTTTTTTTCTCTTTCTTTTTTCTTTCTCTTTTTCTCTTTCTTTTTTTTCTTTTTCTCTTTCTTGAGAAGTGTTGTCTTTTTCTTTATTTTGGTTTTTCTCTTTTTGTTCTTATCTTGTTTTTTTTCTTCCTTTTTTTTTCTTTATGTTCTTTCTCTTTTTTTTCCTTTTTGATTTTTTTGTTGGTATTGTTGTTGATGTTTTGTTTATTTGAAGATAATGAATAACAAAAATAAATTCTTTTATGTATTGGTGTGGTTTGTGCTTTGTATATTCTATTGTTATTGTATCGAACTGGCCGAATTGTCGTGTTTGTGGTGAATAAATTATGTTTGTTTTTGTCGATTTGGAAATCCTAAAATTTTGCTATACTTTTGGGGGATTTTATAGATCTTTTCTTCGAATTCATGACATAACCTGACCAAATTTCGGAATTTGTTTTTATTTCGACGATCCGGATCTTAGAGGTTAATTCCGCAAATGTTTATAGAATTTGGTGTTTTTTTCTCTCTTTCTCTCTCTTTCTCTTTTCTCTCTATCTCTCTCTTTCCTTTTCTTTTTTCTTTTTCTTTCTCTCTTTTTTTCTCTCTCTCTTTTGTTCTTCCCTTTTTTCCCTTTTCTTTTTCTCTTTCTCTGTTTCTTTTGCTCTCTCTTTTTCTCTTTCTCTTTTTCTTTTTCTTTTTTAAAGAGAGAATGAAAGAATAAATAAATATACATTTCTTTTTTTTTCCACCTGGTGTTACTTTATCGCCCATAGGCTGAGGGATAGCTTGTCTAGGTTTTGTTGGGGCATCGATTGGTGTTTGACGGGGCCGGAGACACTCTTGGGGAACTATTATTTCCACTTCGGGCATTTTTGCTGGTAGCAATTCCTCTTGTTATGGGTCTGTTTTCCCTTTTTTTTCTTTCCTTTTTTTCTCTCTTTCTCTATCTCTTTCTCTTTCTTTTTTTTTTTCTCTCTCTTTTTTTCTTTCCCTTTTTCTCTTTCTTTTTTTTCTTTTTCTCTTTCTCTTTTTGTTTTGTTGTCTTTTTCTTTTATTTTGGTTTTTCTCTTTTTCTTCTTATTTGTGTTGGTATTGTTGTTGATGTTTTGTTTATTTGAAAGATAATGAATAACAAAAATAATTCTTTTATGTATTGGTGTGGTTTGTGTTTTGTATATTCTATTGTTATTGTATCGAACTGGCCGAATTGTCGTGTTTGTGGTGAATAATTATGTTTGTTTTTGTCGATTTGGAAATCCTAAAATTTTGCTATATTTTTGGGGGATTTTATAGATCTTTTCTTCGAATTTTCATGACATAACCTGACCAAATTTCCCGGAATTTGTTTTTATTTCGACGATCCGGATCTTAGAGGTTAATTCCGCAATTTTTTATAGAATTTGGTGTTTTTTCTTAAATAGCAAATAATGGACTAAATTTCCGGGAAATTCTCTTTTTTTCTTTTGTTCTTCTTTCTCTTTTTTAATGTTGATCTCTGTCTCCGTCTCTATCTCGATTTGAATATGAATCTGAATCTGAATCTGAATTTGAATTTGATTCTGAATTTGAATCTAAATCTGAATTTAAATTTGAATCTCAATCTCGATCTTTATCTCGCAATCCTTTATTTTTTCTTTCTCCTTTTCTCTTTTTATATTGTATTTCTTTTTTTTCCCTCTTAATTTCTTTCTTTTTTTTCTTTTTTTTTCTTTTTTTTTAAATATCTTTTCTTTCTTTCTTTCTTTTTTTCCTCTTTTTTCTCTTTTTTTTTTTTTTTTAGTATGATTATGGAATATATATTTTTATGCCTGATTTTTTTTTAAAAATAATAAACAATATAATAAAACATAAAATAATATAATTAATATTTAAATAATATATATTATATATCTTAAACATATATATATATATAATTATATTTCTAAATTTATTAAAATAATAAAATTAATTATATAAATATATATAAATTATTTTATAAAAATACTTATATACAATTATATATATATATATTATAAGACTTATTGAAATAAATGAGGTTATACTTTTGGAAATTGATTATTTATTTTTGGTAATCGATATTTTAGATAATATTTGGAGATATTATCGGATATATTATTCATAGATATTATTATTACATATTATTTTTATATATATTATTTTGATGAAATATTAAATATAATTGAAAAAAAATAAGCATTATAATTAGATATAGATAATATAATAAATAGGTTTTTTGCTTTAAACTCTATGGAATTGATAATAAACATTTAGATAATATACAGACATTTTAAATGATTATTGTTTTATTAAAATAATATTGATTAATATTAAAGAAAGAAAGGATGATAAATGTAAAATTGAAAAACCATAAATTATATATCTGAAATTTGAACAAAACTATTTTGAATTAGAATAGATGTTAATAACAAATATAATATATATATATATGATATTGTTGTTTTTCATGCATGTATTTTTAAATTGAATTATTTGTATGTATATATATGGTATTTTGTGTTTATGTTTACTTGTGCGTATATATCCATCCATTGAATTGCCTAAATCATTACGATTATTCATTTATTATGTTGCGTCGTATCGCGTCATACTATAGGGATATTGTTTTATCTTGGATATATATATATATATATTTGCTATATTGAATGACGCGGTATATATATTTTGTGGTATATACATTTATGAATATATATTATAATATATTATATTATGGGGGGTCGTGGTGTATGGTTTATGATATGTTATATATGTATGTCGTGTTCGTATTGTCCGTTATGGAGGTTGGCTTGAGTAGATCTTTTTCAAATTATCGAAATAATATAAATCGTGAACATTTCCTTATACTAATTTAGATTTAGAATTCTATTTTGGGATACATTAAGTTTGATTTTTTTTTTTTTTTTTAAAATATATATTTCGAATATATGATTTTATTCTTTATAAATTATAATTTTCTTGATTATATTTAATAGATATTAAATTAATTATTAAATATTTTTGTATTTATTCCATTCTTAAATCTATAAATGCAAATTTATATATATATATATATATGTATATATTCCCGTCGCCCGTCGTCCTTAGCCCCCCCCCCCATGGTATGGATCCATCCAGGGGGGTCCCCCTGGCCTCGGGTATGCGTACGATGTTGCGGGCGCGTTTGTTGCGCTATTCGTGTATGATGCTGCAATACGATTTGCTCATTTTGTAGCACACGACAAGTTGTAACGTTGTCGTAATTGACAATATGCGATGCCACGACGCAATTTGTGGTTTCCAGCGCCATAACCAAATATTTTCTAAGTGCGCTATAACGCGCCAATGGCAATCGCACTCTGCTTGCTATCTAGTATAGACTCTAGCGGGCGGTATGGGGACCATGGTCGCGGGGGGCTTTGCGGTCGCACTATATTATCATTCTCCCCGACTCCCATTCCCATAGGGAACGGGAAATAATTCACACTATATTATTTGGAATATATATATACATATATATAAAATTAGATACATATATATATTTTTCGATTATATTATAGAATAATTTATTTTATATTACAATATTTTGAAATATTTTATATATTCTTAAAATTTCATATTATGATTTTTTTTTGAAACTATTTTAATATAAAGATATATATATATATTAATTTTTAAAAGCGATAATATATTTCATTTTTTTTTTGAGACTTATTATTTTAATTAAGATATTAATTTATATAAACAAACTATATCATACACCGATAAGAAATTTATTTAATATAATAAAATACAATTCTAAAAATCGGTAAATACAAGAAACAACAATTGGTTTTATAAATATATATATATATATATATTATGATTTTTTATTATAGAATAAAATTCATATTTTTTTCCTTAAATTATAATTTTTAAAATTATTTTGTTAATTACTTTATGTACACATATATATTTGGCAGATTCATAATTTATATATTTCTTTATTCTATTTCAATAAACCAATTATTTAAAACAAATCTAATATTTCTTAATTATAATATTTCTCAAAACCAATTTCATATATTCATAATTTATAATATATTCATTTTATGATATATAAATTCATATCGATTATTATATATATATATATATATTGTAGATTTGTATATCCTAAAATTTAATTTTGGTGGCTTTAAGCATATTGCCGTGTTCTAGTGCACTTGCCGGTCCTCCTCAGCCCTCCCTTCCGAATCTCTTCTAACCATTAAGGCCGTGGCTCGGAATTTTCGGACTTGTGTATCCCAAGACTTAGTCTTAATGACTTTAGAAATATTGTCGTGCTCTCCTCGGCCCTCCTTAGTCGCATATAGCCCTTCTGGGGAATTTCTGGCCATGATAACCATAACACGGATTATTTTTTAGGGAGATTTATATATCTTAAATTTTGTTCTTAATAATTTAAAAATATTATCATAAAACCCTCCTCGGCCCTCCATAACCCTTCGAAAACCTTCTAGCCGCGGTGGCCATTACACGGAGCTTTAAGCCCTAAGATTTACACATCCCAAGCCTCAATCTTAGAGGCTTGAGAAAAATTATCAACACATTCCTTTCTTGTCTTTAATCTACCATAATCCTCCTTAATCCCATATCCCTTTCCAAAACCTTCTAAATCATATTCCAAGATTTAATTTTAATTATTTTAAAATCATTATTATAATATTCCTTTTTTACATATTCTAATAAATTTACCAATCTTAATCCTCCTTAATCCTCCTTAAGCCTCCTTAAGCCTCCTTAATCCCCTTCCACAACCCTATTAGCTGTGGTATTATTTTATTCTCCTTAATTCTCCAAAATCCAATAATACTTCCAAAAATCTTTTAACCATAACACAAAACTTTAGCCCTACATTTATATATCCCAAAAATTATTTTTTAGATTACCATATAATATCCTACCAATCCCTATCAATAAAACCTAAATATTAATCCATTCAATTATATTCTTATAACAATTATATATATAAAAATACAACTTAACCAAACCATAATAAATTTGTATATCTATATATAATTTATCCTTTATTTTAATAATTATATTATTTTCACTAAATCATTTTAATATTTTATATTTCATCAACCATAATTTTTCAATATCATCAAATCGAAATTTACATATACAAAATCAAATTACTTCATTTTCAAAATATGTTCACTCTCTTTCTACTCTTTATTCGCCTCATACCAATTAATATCGAACCTAACAAAGGTCCCTTCAAAAGCAACACTATCTTCCAAAACCCCCTAGTAACTTCCGTGATTTAATGAGAGGGTAGCGGGCTAATTCATTTATTCTGTAGATATACATATAAAAAAAGGATCATATTATATTTTATGAAACGTGTGACCTTCATTGCAAAATCGCACAATTTAATCGAATATGTATCAAGCCTGAACAAAACAACCAAACAGGAGCTTCACTTCTCATTGGCAGACACCATCTTTTCCGGATGCCGGCTTGAGCATTGGAGCCATCCGAATGGTAGGCGCCACTCCGCGAAGCCGAGGGCTGGTTCCAGTAACAAACCGATGGGTGTGTTTCTTTTTGAGGCTACCCCTTTTTGTGGTTCTACAGGGAAAATAAAAGGAAAACCCGCATTTTGGGGGTCCCATTAAAAAATAATAAAATAAAATAAAATAAAGAACACAAAAATAGAAACAGCTGTACAAACCAAGGCGCGAAGACAGTCACTGTATGGATCCAGCCGAGGCTTCGGGGCAGCGTGTACGTATATAAATTACGAAGCCAAGCTTCCAGCAACCACACTACTTGGCAAGGTGGGGCGAAACCCGCTGGTTCTCACATGATTGAACGCAGGATTCCCATAGAAAATGCAGCGCCAAGAGGCGGTTGAACCATCCAAGTTTGCCCTGCCCTTTGCGGCACTCTACTTGTGGTATGTCGGGTGTGAGGGCGCATCTGCTGCGGTAACTGGCACCTGGCAGAAACACGGGCATGGTGAATTCGACTAACGCTTTGCCGCGACTCTCTCTTCAACCCTGATGGCTTGCTCCCTCTTGACTGCTTTTGACTGGTAAACCTTGAAGCTATTCATATCAAACATATCATTTGCGCGGGGTTCAAAAGGAGGGAATGCAAAACACCTGCACGCAAACGTGAAGGCAAATCTGATCTCTCGATCTCAGTGATACCAGCATGGATGGTGCTGGTGCTAGGAGCTTAAAACCGAGTCCAGTTGTTCAATTTGACGAGAAGTGGAATATGAAGGGAGCCTTGGCGTGAATATGTCATGTACGGCCCTCTCTAGAGGCCTTGCATCTTGTGGCTTCCTGAATCTTGAGGAACTCCTTATGCATGTTGGTAGTCCCATGGCAGCTTGGCATCAAAGGCTTGCAAAGGCTTGCCACTTTTGCAAGCCTGTCAGTAGCTGCCGAGTTGACCTTCTCCCGAGCTCAACACTTCTCGTCAAACTGGACAACGCACACGCAAGTGCAAAACTCTTCTCGTCAAAGCGTGCAGGAAAGTGTATGATGCATCAATATCGCTCATGCGATTTCCACATGCAAAACACTTGATGATTAGAAGCAGGAATGGGGACAATCTCGTCAAACGAAGGTCGCCGCTTGGCACATCTAAGGGTGGTTGAATGAAAGTGTCCAGCTCCTGACGAAGTGTCTGGTCAGGCGACCCACAGCAGCTGTCACAGGGACAAGGGCTTTTGAGCCTCAAATAAGGTTCTTGTTCGAGTTTTTTGAAGTCTGCGAATATATTCAGCAAACGGGGACCAACCCAGGGACATTGCCGAACGGCAACGTCTTAAACTTTGGTTTTCTTTTGAAATCACTTTCTTTGAATTTGGGTTTTGTCTTCGAACCGCCATGTCACCTAACAAACATATGCCAACATATGCCAACAGAAAGACAAACTGATTCAAAGCAGGATTTCGACCAATGTCTATTCGACGTGCCTAACAAAAGAAAGCGACGCATTCACGGCCAGCCTCGAAATTTAACCTGATATTTGCCAGTCCGGCTTTCTGTGGGTGGACCTTCTCCTTTCTCTGTTGACACCGGGAAAAAAAAACACAAAAAAAAACACCAACAAAACCGACCCCACAAAAGAACAAAGAAAAAACCCGACCAAAACAAAAACCGACAAAAAAACACCGACCGATCCGGCCGACCCAAAACACCGACCCCACGAGAGGCCAAGCCACGCCGCAGAGCTGGCTGAATGCCGCCGCCGCGGCGCGGCAGCTGCTGCCCTGCGTCAGGCGTGGAGAGGGCCAGTGGGGCATCGAGTTTCCATCGGGTTTTTGATGGTTTTTGACTGGTTTGAGAGTTTCCCATCGAGTTTCCATGGGTTTTTGATGGTTTTTGACTGGTTTGAGAGTTTCCCATCGAGTTTCCATGGGTTTTTGATGGTTGTTTTTGACTGGTTTGAGAGTTTCCCATCGAGTTTCCATGGGTTTTTGATGGTTGTTTTTGACTGGTTTGAGAGTTTCCCATCGAGTTTCCATGGGTCTTTTATGGTTTTTGACTGGTTTGAGGGTTTCCCATCGAGTTTCCATGGGTTTTTGATGGTTTTTGACTGGTTTGAGAGTTTCCCATCGAGTTTCCATGGGTTGTTGATGGTTTTTGACTGGTTTGAGAGTTTCCCATCGAGTTTCCATGGGTTTTTGATGGTGTTTGACTGGTTTGAGAGTTTCCCATCGAGTTTCCATTGGTTTTTGCTGGCTTTTAACTGGTGGGTTGAGAGTCTCCCATCGAGTTTCCATGGGTTTTTGATGGTTTTTGACTGGTTTGAGAGTTTCCAATCGAGTTTCCATGATTTTTTGATGTTTTTGACTGGTTTGAGTGTTTCCCATCGAGTTTCCATGGGGTTTTGACTGGTTTGAGAGTGTCCCATCGAGTTTCCATGGGTTTTTGCTGATATTTAACTGGTTTGAGAGTCTCCCATCGAGTTTCCATGGGTTTTTGCTGGTTTTTGACTGGTTTGAGTTTCCCATCGAGTTTCCATGGGTTTTTGCTGGTTTTTAACTGGTGGGTTGAGAGTCTCCCATCGAGCTTCCATGGATTTTTGATGGTTTTTGCCTGGTTTGAGAGTTTCCCATCGAGTTTGCATGGGTTTTTGATGGTTTTTGACTGGTTTGAGAGCTTCCCATCGAGTTTCCATGGGTTTTTGCTGGTTTTTAACTGGTGGGTTGAGAGTGTCCCATTAAGTTTCGATGGGTTTTTGATGGTTTTTGACTGGTTTGAGAGTCTCCCATTCGAGTTTCCATAGGTTTTTGATGGTTTTTAACTGGTGAATTGAGAGTTTCCCATCGGTCTTCCATGGGTTTTTGCGGGTTGAGAGTCTCCCATCGAGTTTCCATGGGTTTTTTTTTATGGTTTTTAACTGGTTTGAGAGCTTCCCATCGAGTTTCCATGGGTTTTTGCTGGTTTCTAACTGGTGGGTTGAGAGTTTCCCATCGTTTTTGATGGTTTTTAACTGGTGGGGTTTGAGAGTTTCCCATCGAGTTTCCATGGTTTTTGATGGTATTTAACTGGTGGAAGGAGAGTTTCCCATCGAGTTTCATGGGTTTTTGATGGCTTTTAACTGGTGGCTTGAGAGTTTCCCATCGAGTTTCCATGGGTTTTTGATGGTTTTGAACTAGTGGAGTTTCCCATTGAGTTTCCACGGGTTTTTGATGGTATTTAACTGGTGGAAGGAGAGTTCCCCATCGAGTTTCCATGGGTGTTTGATGGTTTTTAACTGGTGGAAGGAGAGTTTCCCATCGAGTTTCCATAGGTGTTTGATGGTTTTTAACTGGTGGCTTGAGAGTTTTCCATCGAGTTTCCATGGGTTTTTTGATGGTTTTTAACTGGTGGCTTGAGAGTTTCCCATCGAGTTTCCATGGGTGTTTTGATGGTTTTTAACTGGTGGGTTGAGAGTTCCCCATCGAGTTTCCATGTTTTTTGATGGTTTTTTACTGGTGGCTTGAGAGTTTCCCATTAAGTTTCCATGGGTTTTTGATGGTTTTTAACTGGTGGAGTTTCCCATTGAGTTTCCACGGGTTTTTCATGGTTTTTAACTGGTGGTTTGAGAGTTTCCCATCAAGTTTCCATGTTTTTTGATGGTTTTTTAACTGGTGAATTGAAAGTTCCCATCGAGTTTCCATGGGTTTTTGATGGTTTTTAACTGGTGGGGTTTGAGAGTTTCCCATCGAGTTTCCATGGTTTTTGATGGTATTTAACTGGTGGAAGGAGAGTTTCCCATCGAGTTTCCATAGGTGTTTGATGGTTTTTGGTGGCTTGAGAGTTTTCCATCGAGTTTCCATGGGTTTGAAGATGGTTTTTAACTGGTGAATTGAGAGTTCCCATCGAGTTTCCATGGGTTTTTGATGGTTTTTAACTGGTGGAGTTTCCCATTGAGTTTCCACGGGTTTTTCATGGTTTTTAACTGGTGGTTAGAGAGTTTCCCATCGAGTTTCCATGTTTTTTGATGGTTGTTTAACTGGTGAATTGAGAGTTCCCATCGAGTTTCCATGGGTTTTTGATGGTTTTTGACTGGTTTGAGAGTTTTTAGAGTCTCCCATTGAGTTTCCATGAGTTTTTGATGGTATTTAACTGGTGGAAGGAGAGCTTCCCATGGAGTTTCCATGGGTTTTTGATGGTTTTTAACTGGTGGCTTGAGAGTTTCCCATCGAGTTTCCATGGGTTTTTGATGGTTTTTAACTGGTGGTTTGAGAGTTTCCCATCGATTCCATGGGTGTTTGATGGTTTTTAACTGGTGGCTTGAGAGTTTCCCATCGAGTTTCCACAGGTTTTGGTTGGTTTTTAACTGGTGGTTTGAGAGTTTCCCATCGAGTTTTCATGGGTTTTTGATGGTTGTTTAACTGGTGAATTGAGAGTTTCCCATTGAGTTTCCACGGGTTTTTCATGGTATTTAACTGGTGGAAGGAGAGCTTCCCATCAAGTTTCCATGTTTTTTGATGGTTTTTTAACTGGTGAATTGAAAGTTCCCATCGAGTTTCCATGGGTTTTTGATGGTATTTAACTGGTGGAAGGAGAGTTTCCCATCGAGTTTCCATAGGTTTTTGATGGTTTTTAACGGGTGGCTTGAGAGTTTTCCATCGAGTTTCCATGGGTTTGAAGATGGTTTTTAACTGGTGAATTGAGAGTTCCCATCGAGTTTCCATGGGTTTTTGATGGTTTTTAACTGGTGGAGTTTCCCATTGAGTTTCCACGGGTTTTTCATGGTTTTTAACTGGTGGTTTGAGAGTTTCCCATCGAGTTTCCATGTTTTTTGATGGTTGTTTAACTGGTGAATTGAGAGTTCCCATCGAGTTTCCATGGGTTTTTGATGGTTTTTGACTGGTTTGAGAGTTTTTAGAGTCTCCCATCGAGTTTCCATGGGTTTTTGATGGTATTTAACTGGTGGAAGGAGAGCTTCCCATGGAGTTTCCATGGGTTTTTGATGGTTTTTACCTTGTGGTTTGAGAGTGTCCCATCGAGTTCCCATGCGTTTTTGATGGTTTTAAACATCTCAGAATGATTTTGGAGAGGGTTTGCCGAGCTTGATGGGATCGCGAGGCTTCAACAGGGACACCTTCCTGAGGTGATCCACAGTGAACACGGGATCCGCATTGGGTCCCACAACCATAAACAAATATCTCTGCATGCATGCGAGCAGGCGTGCGTGCGTAGGTAGGTAGGTGGGTGGGTGGGTGGGTAGGTAGGTAGGTAGTATGATGTGATGTGATACGATATGATGTGATGTACTGGAATGTGCTGTAATGTATAGATACACAACACAAATCCAGGAATGTTTCCAACACCTGCCCCCCCTCCCCCCAACCACCCTGAGCCCAAACCTAACCGCATCCCACCCTGGACCATCTCTGGAGCAACCACCCTCTTCGTCGGCTCTCAAACAAGCCCAGCTAGCTTTCCTTAAACGGCGAGCAAAAGCACGAGTACCCTCACACATCAACAAAGAAGACATCTCATGATAAGCCTGCGCAGCTGCATCCCCCAACAAATTCTGCACAAAGGGCAACGCTGGTTTCCCTGAAAGAGAATCGTAGCAACTGTTCAAACATGGCTTTTGGCTGGATTTTGTTAGCTATCAAATTTGCATGACTCGGAGTAGGTTTTGCACCTGGTTCCTATTCCTGTTCTCCAATGCATTTCCAAACTTTCTGGGTATGCGGAGCCGCTTTCGGCATATGTTTCAAGGCAACTAAAGAACATCCACCGATTAAGGTGTCATCTATTTTGGAATCCATTTTCCCTCCAAAGACTTATTGCTCATGAAAAAGACAGGCACACACACACACAGCTTAAGTAGTTGATGCGCAGCCAATTGTCGTCATCCTCAAGTAAGCAGGGATACTCAAGTGGCCAGCCTTGCAAAGTTCCAAATCTAGCTATTGCAAACTCATAGAGTATAGCAGCCCCAGCAGATCAAACACAGGGTTGAAGTTGATATTCGAGCAAACCGTCCTGAGGCAAGACAAAGGTAAAGTGGTCAAGTCTGGAATGAGTAGACGCCAGGCTGGCCCAATGAAGTTTCTCTGGGTGCATTTCGTGCACAACGTTCCCTCTCGCGTTTGCTCTTTGCGCCTCCTCAAACATTGCGCACATGTAGCGCGCCTGACAGCAGCCAAGCACGACCGAAACCAAATGATAAGCACGCACAGAAGAGACGGAGTGGAGGGAGTAGAGTGTGAAGAGGAGAAAGGTAGTAGCTGGGGCGAACAGGTGCAATGAAAAGACTGGATGGGCAATCAGAGGAAGGAGTGCAGGGTGGTGTGGAGAGGAGGTGGAGACAATTGGGGGAGCACATGTGGCTGTTGTTCACGTCGTGCTCAGGCACAGCAGCAAATGCTTACGGACCGGTGCCTGCATTTGCGTTCAGGTAATTGGAAGTGATAACAAGCAGGGCTTGGCGACTTTTGGCAAAAAAAACAAAGAGTCAGTCACTTGGAGGTGCGCGCATGGACAAGTGGCAAGCTGATTTGGGAACAGCATCCACAAGTTCTGCCACTGCAGTCTCCCTGCTACTCTCTCATGCATGGTGGGGAGTTTCGACAATCCAGCAATCAATCATTGTCTGGCTGAATGACTGGCCACATGGCAGGTTTGACGACTCCCAAGCAGTGATCCAAACTGATAGCTCTTGTTCGAGCACACATTTAGGACTAGATGATATTGATCTGGGTAAATTATACTATTTCGCCAACCTGAAATTAGGTGGTTGGGGGGCTATTCCCCACATAAACTACCATTTGGGGTGAGGTCGTGTGCGGTCGTTATAATTCACCCAGATTTATCCAGGCATCCATGAGCCAAATAGTTTCCGATTGGATCGCCGAGGGGACCCCAGTGTGTGCTCCATTCATCCTAACTGGATTCACGGAAGCCATTCCTTCAGCAAGCGTGCTGAACACACATCTCATTCAATTACGGGCCTCCAAAGGCACCAGACCAAAGTGACGCAGGTCACACTGGCGATTCAAAGTGACGCAGGTCGCCTCGTTGCCATACTTCTGAAATTGGAAGCGGAAGGACAGCCTGGCGGGCGCCCACTTCGGGCGGTTGAGTACCCAAAGACCGGGGAGAAGGACTCGTAGGACGCGGCTAGATGCCATTCACATGCCCGGATGTCAGAGCTCATGGCTCACTGCCACAAAGCCTTCACTATTCAGCTTGGTAGATTTAAACTCTCTCGCTCCCGCCCGCCAAACTGCGGATGACAAAACCCGCGGTTTGTGTCCTTTTCCCTGCCGTTGCCAGCCTCCGCACCCGAAGTGTTTTAATATGCATGGCAAATGTCAAACACATGTGCATGCTTAACATGCCGACCGCGTCAGGAGTCGCAGTGTGGGAAGTAGACCCATTGTTCATTCCAAAAAGGGCCACCGAATTCATCTAGCCAGTAGGGAAGAGATGCTGTTCAAGCGCTACCTGGACCACACCAAAACAACGAGCAATCAGCATCCTAATTGCAAAACGGTTGTATTGATTTTCTTGGCCCGACACAAACAAAGCACTGTGCACTGCCACAGTGGTGTCCACTCTCTGCGTTCACGTGAACCCTTCCTCCATCTGACCCTTTTTCCACCCATCTCTCATCCCCCCCTGCGTCTTCTCCGCTGGCGGTGGCTTTGGCAAAATGTTGGAGGCGATGCCCTGTCACGGCGTAGCTGATTGAGCTTTCGAGCTCAGCAAAACCAGAGCTAGGTGATACATGAGTTCAAGAAAGAGACAACCAGCAAGGCCACTCCAAATCGCCAACTGGAAAAACAAAACGTGAGGCTGAGCAAAGGTTTGGGAGGATTCTCATCTTGGAGTTTACATTTCAGTGCCATGGACAAAAGGCCATGAAGAGGTCTCCACGTGCATGGCCATGCTCATGCGGAAATGGATCAGAGATTGGTGGGTTTGGTGGATTGCTTGGCGATCTGAATCTGGCAAGTGGAGCCATGGGCCAGTCCAAGCGCCGAAACCGCCAACCTGCCCAGTCTCTTCAGGCAAACGGTCTCACAGGGAAATGAGGGCTCCAAATGGCCGAAACCATCTCCCAAGTGAACCCTTGTGTTACCGAAGGCAAACTCAGGGATATCCGAATCACACCGCCTGTTCCACTCCCGAAGCTGTGCTGAAGCGAATCTGTGCAGGAGATTCATCAAGGTCCGGGAGCACATCCCCTGATATTCTTCCAGTTTTGACGACCAGAGAGTATCTCAGAGACCCAGATTTCCACCAACCCTTGCGACCAAGGCCCAGGCGAACGAGATGCACTGGAGGTGGTCAATGTCCCAAGAATCCTCACAAGCGCCTCAGAGAAGCCACCCGAGCGAGCTTTTTGCTGCTCATGTGACTTTTTTGCACACCGGTGCACGCTTGAGCTTGCGATTTGACCCCAACTCCACCAGTCACACATGAAGCCCACACATTGTGACATGGGGTCCAACTCCACAGCTTCGCCGGTGCCAAACTCGCTGGTAGCTTCTTTCACAATTGTCACTATATCAAGAAGAGGAATGAATGGCAATTCACCAAACTTGACTAAGGGATTGCGAGGACCTTTCTCCCAAGTGAGGTGGCCATCACGTGTCCAAGCAGAACAATTCCTAGTTCGAGGTACTAGTAGAGATGGGAATCCCGGGCGTCACTGAAAACCTGAAAACCAAATGGAAGTCTCTGGGTCAAAGGCTCAGATGCCCAGTGGCCACGGGGGAAAAGGGCATTCTTTTTTGGTTGGTTGACTTTAAAGGGCAACCCTTCCCAAAAGTCAGGAAAAAAAGGGCGGAATCCACTGGGCAACTGAGAAGGGGTTGCTCTGGTTCTGAACAGAGCCATGGGTGCCCCTTCGCAAAACTGGTTGAACCAACCTCCGAGAAAATGCATCCTCAGGTTTCTCGCAACACGAGCCTGGGCTTGCGGACCGTCTGTCCTCAAAATGGACATCCGCTTGCCTGCAGGGTTCAGCCCCAGCCTGGCAAGTGGGGCTGGCACTGACTTGCAATCGGGGAGCGCAAGGACGTTTTCAAGAAAGGATCGTGCCTTCGGTCCACCTGGTTCACCCACTGTTCCACTAGTAACTACTACAAGAGACCTTGGATCTGCTTCGCTAAAGGCTCTCGTAAAGCCAAAAACAACACACTGCGCTTGCGAGTTCAGCGAGACTGAAGCCTGGAGCCCTCAAGGCTGCATGTGATTCTGTGCATCGCACTGTTTGGCCCGGGAAACAACCAAAAATCGTCGAATGCTCTGGCGACTCTTGTTGTGAGCTAACACTCAGTATCCCTGGTGCACGCGAAAAATAACTGCTTGTCAAGGGAATTGAACATGCAAGCAACCCCTTTACTAGCTTGGTGGTTACTCTTTCATTGTGCACTGATCAGCTCAGGATTGATGGCTTGGAGTTTTGGCGCCATCCTACTGCCTTCTTCTGTGTCGAGCTGCGGCTGGACAGCACGAATCCAAATCCCCAAGGCAAACCACAAAACCGCCACAAGATAATGGCCGGGTTTACCACAGAGCAATATTGTACAAGCCTGCAGATCGACTCAGGAATCCAACATGCCCACTTAAACTTTTAATCAGGCAAAAGCAAATAAATGGCCAATAGATGGTCAGTAAACGGATAGTGAAACCAATAGCACATGGTTCACATGGCCAGCAAGCAGTCACTCATCGCCCTTTGGCCAGTTGTGCCTTGAGCCTCTTAAAAGAGGCAGCACCCTCCCTTGACGCTTGCTGAATACAAATGGCACAAGAACTGCACCCACTGGAAGCCTCAGAAAGGCTCATTGGGCCACTTGGCATCGTGACAATTATCAGATGTAATGTGGACCCCGAACTCAAACCAACCCCCGGCTTGATAATGCGGAGATCCTTCATTCTTGTTGGTGACACCCCCGTATTAAGAGGACAGGTATATTTCTCTGGATATATATGTTTGTGCATCATCAACAAATGCGACAGCATGTGTGACAGGGGCCTTGGCTGCTCACGGCTGGTCACGAGCGTATTGTCAAACGCGTGTATTATCTGTCATTCGTGCCACGCGATGGCTATCTTGCTATGTTGCTGCCAGAGAACATCTACCCGCATCACTACTTGTATGCGGGGCATGTGCTGTTCATGCTACGCGGTATGGCTTCTTGGCAAGGGGTACGCGGGAACCCATACCAAACCCATGTAGTTTTTTGTTTTGTTGTTTTCCCCGTTGCGGATTATTGGTATGCATCGTACCTCCATCCCCGAACCAAACACACCAACCAATTGGGAACTATACCTGAACCTGAACATCCAGGTCTCACCAGCACCCCCCTACAGCATGCTCTTGAATATATACAAGCACGCAGCACAATTCACGAACCAAACAAGAGGAGCCCGGGAACCCAAAAGCAAACCAGCCTCACTCCCCATGGCATGTGGATCCCGTTGTTTTTCGGCTCAAGGGTCCGAAGGCAAACCAAGATTTAAGTTGTTCACAGTTGGGAAATCAACCCCAAAACAGATGAAGAAGGGGAGCAACCGCGACTCAAGCCGGATTGGCAGCCAGCAGCCTGTGCTCTGACCAAGCACAGAGAAAAAGGCAAAGGCACGGGTGAAACATGACAGGCCCCGCACTACATGGAAGGCACGTAGTCATCCGATTCATCATGAAGAACCAATCGAACCAGTGGATCCGTGCACACCAATACTCCAACAGCAAAGGTATGCCTGCTCTATACCCATCTGTCAAAGTCTACATTGCAGCAAATGATCTGAGACATCAAATGTTGTCTGGATGCTCCATGCGCCTTTTGTTTGGGCCGGCGTGCTCTGGCATATCCATGCCACCCGTTTCCAGGCTGCTTCCAAATAAGTAGGGCGAACCCCAAGAGGCCACAGACTCTGAAGAGAGGGTTCGTCCTAGAAACACATTGGCGCCACTTGTTCGGGTCAGGTGTGCGGCAAAAAGGACAATCTTGGCGCACCTGGAACGCCGGGCTGTTCACATGGAGCCGTGCACGTGGCCTTCACAAACTTGCTTCGTAAGCTTGCTTGGATTCGTTAGTTTCTCCACCTATGTTCCCATTCGCAACCAATTGCAACTGGTGACTTTGTGGAAAGGGCCGCGCACGTTGTCAATTGGATGCGTGTGGATGGCAAGTCGGGTGGGTTCGCCGCAGGTGTGTGGAGATGGGGCTGGCGCTGCGCTTTTGCGGGGGGCTCGGTGTGGACAAGCCTCGGTCACTTGGTGGGTCTGACGACTGTCTGAAGCAAGTCTGAGACACAGTGTTACCACGATCTGCGTAGACCGGGGTCAGCTGTTCGGATGTTCATGCGCCCTTTTGTTTGGGCCGAGTGTGCTCCGCATATTCATGTCAACGTACTTCCAGGCTGCTAACCCCAAGATGCTACAGCTTCTGAAGAGAGGGTTCGTCCTAGAAACACATTGGCACCATTTGTTCAGGTCAGGTGTGCGGCAAAAATGACAATTTTGGCGCACCTGGAACATGGAGCCGCGCACGGGGCCGGCGCTGCGCTTTTTCGGGGGGCTGGTGTGGACAAGCCTCGGTCACTTGGCTTGTCTGACGCCTGTCCGTCTGAGACACAGTGTTACCACGATCTGCGTAGACCGGGGTCAGCTGTTCGGATGTTCATGCGCCCTTTTGTTTGGGCCGAGTGTGCTCAGCATATTCATGTCAACGCAGCTCTGCTGCTTTCCAAATGCGAAAAAGGTCCCAACAGGCTACAAGTTTCTGTTATGGTCCGCTGAGAACACGTACTGGCACTGTTTGTCTGGCTGTAGTGTCCACAAAAAGGACAAACATGGCGTAATCTGGCGCCAGACAAGCTGCATGAGGCATGCACCGGTTGGCGCATGCCGCGAGCGCACCTTCACGCAGGGGCGCCAGCTGATCGGGCGTGTCACTTGCCGCCCGCCGCTACTTCGTCTCGCTGCGGGCGGTTTGCGACAAACACAGCGTCCATCAGCGGTTGGCTCCGGACGCGCTTGTCCTGCTCGCGGGCGGTTTCCGTGATGTCACGGCGTCCACCGCGCCAGTCTCGCCCCCGGGCGGTTTCCGAATGTCACGAGCGTCCACCGCGCCAGTCTCGCTCGCGGGCGGTTTCCGCATGTCACGAGCGTCCACCACGCCAGTCTCACTTGCGGGCGGCTTCCGCATGTCACAAGCGTCCACCGCGCCAGTCCTGCTCGCGGGCGGTTTCCGCATGTCACGAGCGTCCACCGCGCCAGTCTCGCTCGCGGGCGGTTTCCGCATGTCACGAGCCTCCACCGCGCCAGTCTCGCTCACGGGCGGTTTCCGCATGTCACAAGCGTCCACCGCGCCAGTCTCGCTCGCGAACGGTTTCCGGATGTCACGAGCGTCCACCGCGCCAGTCTCGCTCGCGGGCGGTTTCCGCATGTCACGAGCGTCCACCGCGCCAGTCTCGCTCGCGGGCGGTTTCCGCATGTCACGAGCGTCCACCGCGCCAGTCTTGCTCGCGGGCGGTTTCCGCATGTCACGAGCGTCCACCGCGCCAGTCTCGCTCGCGGGCGGTTTCCGCATGTCACGAGCATCCACCGCGCCAGTCTCGCTCCCGGGCGGTTTCCGCATGTCACGAGCGTCCACCGCGCCAGTCTCGCTCGCGGGCGGTTTCCGCATGTCACGAGCGTCCACCGCGCCAGTCTCGCTCGCGGGCCTCGCGGGCGGTTTCCGCATGTCACGAGCGTCCACCGCGCCAGTCTCGCTCGCGGGCGGTTTCCGCATGTCACGAGCGTCCACCGCGCCAGTCTCGCTCGCGGGCGGTTTCCGCATTTCACGAGCGTCCCCCGCGCCAGTCTCGCTCGCGGGCGGTTTCCGCATGTCACGAGCGTCCACCGCGCTAAACTTGCCTACGGGCTAACGAGAGCGCCCACTGCGCCAGTCTCGCTCGCGGGCGGTTTCCGCATGTCACTTGGCGGATATCATAACAGCTTCCGCCTCTCTACTTGGCCGTTTTCCGCATGCCACGAGCGCCCACCGCGCCAGTCTCTTTCGCGGGCGGTTTCCGCGATGTCGCTTACGGTCCATCGACACTTGCCTGGGTTTCGCGGGCGCGTTTTCCGCAGATGTCATGTCCATCGCGCAGTCTTGCTTGCGGGCGGTTTCCGCATGTGACGAGCGTCCGCCGCGCCAGTCTCGCTCGCGGGCGGTTTCCGCATGCCACGAACGTCCGCCGCGCCAGTCTCGCTTGCGGGTGTTTTCCGCATGTCACAAGCGTCCACCGCGCCAGTCTCGCTCGCGGGCGGTTTCCGCATGTCACGAGCGTCCACGGCGCCAGTCTCGCTCGCGGGCGGTTTCCGCATGTCACGAGCGTCCACCGCGCCAGTCTCGCTCGCGGGCGGTTTCCGCCATGTCACGAGCGTCCACCGCGCCAGTCTCGCTCGCGGGCGGTTTCCGCCTGTCACAAGCGTCCACCGCGCCGGCTCACGGCGGTTTTCGCCTGTCACGAGCGTCCGCCGCGCCAGTCTCGCTCGGGCGGTTTCCGCCTGTCACGAGCGTCCGCCGCGCCAGTCTCGCTCGCGGGCGGTTTCCGCATGTCACGAGCGTCCACCGCGCCAGTCTCGCTCGCGGGCGGTTTCCGCATGTCACGAGCGTCCACCGCGCCAGTCTCGCTCGCGGGCGGTTTCCGCCTGTCACGAGCCGCCCGCCAGTCTCGCTCGCGGGCGGTTTCCGCCTGTCACGAGCGCGCGCCAGTCTCGCTCGCGGGCGGTTTCCGCATGTCACGAGCGTCCCCGCGGCAGTCTCGCTCGCGGGCGGTTTCCGAATGTCACCAGCGTCCACCGCGCCAGTCTCGCTCACCCGCGGTTTCTGCATGAAACGAGAGTCCACCGCGCCAGTCTCGCTCCCGCGGCTTCCGCATGTCACGAACGTCCACCGGGCCAGTGAGCGAGCGGGTTCCGCATGTCACGAGCGTCCACCGCGCCAGTCTCGCTCGCGGGCGGTATCCCCATGTCACGAGCGTCCACCACGCCAGTCTCGCTCGCGGGCGGTTTCCGCATGTCACGAGCGTCCATCTCGCTCGCGGGCGGTTTCCGCATGTCACGAGCGTCCACCGCGCCAGTCTCGCTCGCGGGCGGTTTCCGCATGTCACGAGCGTCCACCGCGCCAGTCTCGCTCGCGGGTGGTTTGCGCATGTCGCGAGCGTCCACCGCGCCAGTCTCGCTCGCAGGCGGTTTCCGCATGTCACAAGCGTCCACCGCGCCAGTCCCGCTCGCGGGCGGTTTTCGCGTGTCACGAGCGTCCACCGCGCCAGGCTCGTTCGCGGGTCCACCGCGCCAGTCTCGCTCGCGGGCGGTTTCCGCATGTCACGAGCGTCCATCGCGCCAGTCTCGCTCGCGGGCGGTTTCCGCATGTCACGAGCGTCCACCGCGCCAGTCTCGCTCGCGGGAAGGTTTCCAGCCAGCCTCGCGCGCCCAGTCTGCACCACACCGCCGTCCCCGCAGCCAGCCAGTCTCGCTTGCGGGCGGTTTCCAGCCACGCCCAGTCTGCGTCCCCCTCTCGCTCGCGGGCAGTTTCCAGCCAGCCTCGCGCACCCAGTCTGCACCACACCGCCGTCCCCCCAGCCAGCCCCACACCGCCGTCCCCCCAGCCAGCCTCGTACGCCCGGTCTGCACCCCCTGCCGGCATTGCACGCCGGGTCTGCAGCACAACGAAATGGAAATCCCTTCTTATCTCCGTCGTCACAGCTTGTGTCGCTCCCAGGCACCTTAAGAGAAAACCTAAAGCAGAACCCAAGCATCAGAGATGCTTTTGGGAAAAAAAAGCGGCCTGCCTTCCCCATATGATATCTCTAGCACATACTTAGTTCGGAGCCTGCGCGGCTCGGGCTGCAGGCGCTTGTTGAACACCATCACCTGGGCTTTCAACATTGGGAATGAGCTCCCAACATTGGGCATTAACATCAGTCTCCCCGTTGCAGTCCTGTCTGACAGAACCACACCACAAGATGCAAACAGTAGGCTTCCGCGTCACGCTCGAGCAAAACAGAAAGCAGCTTTGCACGAGCGCGGTGCTTAGCTATTGCCGAAAGTCCGAGCGAAACCCATGAGCATTGACCTGGGAGCTTCCCCTCTCCGCTCCAGCCCTGACTGCCCCCATATGGCAGATCAAAATTCAGGTGCCGGCATTCTGCCAATTGCATGATTGTCGGGAAAGGCTTGCGACTCTCGTGGGGCAGCCCTCACAAACGTAACCGTTCTCGCAGGAACCGACATAACCACTTTGGAGCGAAAGCTTTTGCCACGTGATCCAAGTACCCTTCCTCTAGATCAAAGTTCATAGGCTTCTCACTCAAGCGTAGTACACGAAGTATGCTTTCGAAGCTCCAGCTGCAATACCGCAACTTTTTGGTACAAGCTTAGCAAAGTACGTTTCGGCAGCTCCAGGCCTGGGTATTGCAACTTTCCGTACAAGCGCGAGAAAAAGGCTTCTGCTGAAGCATCACATAGTCTAAACATTGTGCACCAGCTGACAGGCCTTCCACGAGATCATATCCCCAGGTCTGACTTCTGCGATGCGCAAATTGGCCGAGTGCTTGTGGCTAACATGGTGTTCCGTGGAAGCCTCGGGGTAGTCAAGGGCAGCCTTTTGTGGGCCCGGACGCCCAGCGAATGCAAATTGCAGCGTCAAAACACCTACGCTTGAAATAGCTACTGGATCACCAAATCCATGAAAGAAACCACGTGCGGCCGTGCAAGTATGTTCAGAAAAAAGTATTCGAAAAGGGTCAGGAAGGTTTGCATGGATATCATGGTAATTATTCTTGTGTATATGCTTAAACAATGACACACACACACACCCACACCCACACATACATACATGCTTGACCACACGTAGCTAGTACTGACAAACCTTGCTTTCATCAAATTTGGAACAACGACAAGAAGGGCGGAGCTGGGCTCTACGCTTCTTTATGTGCCGAGCTGTGAACTCCCCCGATTCGTCGCATGTTTCATGCTTTGAGATACCGCATTGGAACACCAATCAGATTCTTGCAAACTGCCACACCGGACAAGTTGACAGCAACGCACTTCAGTCACTTCAGTGCTCCGCCCATCATTGGGCTACAGGCTCCGTCCAATGCCACTGATGGATGGCTAGCAAGTCCAACAAAAAGGAACATCTAGTCTAGACAGTTCATCTGCAATCGATTACATGCATCAAATCCTTCAGCGGTCATGAATGCGCTGGCTGGCAAGGGAAACATGTCGGGACTGAAAAAAGCAGACTGTGTTGGTGGAGGCAGAAGGCAAAAACCGCAATGCTACAAGCCCTTGTCAATCAAGTTGAACTGCCATCGTGATGACAGCTGGAAGCTGAAATAAGCGGCCACATTCGCCTATCTTCTCCAGGTGAAAAACATCTAGTGAAAGCATCCTTTCATCATTGCTCCGGTGTGCAAAGGCGCGAAGAATCAATTCAAACACAACATGAGCATGCAAGAACGACCAATCAAAAGATACATCTAGAGGCACTCAACACACACACACACAAAGTGTACAATGTCAGCTTCAAGGGGCAGACTCCGGAAAGTGTGCAACACTCCGAAGTTTGTACTGAAGAGCCATAAAGCACATGCGAAGAACATCCGTTGGGGCGCAGCCGCTTTGGGAATGCGCCAAACCTATGAATCCTTCCAACTGGATTTCTTTCCTGCCTTGAAATATGGAGCACGTGGAATCCCCAGTTGCGACACCTCCGGATTGGTTCTTACCACCTGCTTCCTCCGCCTGGGTGTCCCGCCTCCAGCTCGCCCCGGAGAATGGTGCTCCGCATCTCGGCGACCTGGCGATCCCTTCCGCCCGAAGGCGTCGAAGGAAGAGAGAGAGAGAGAGAGAGACAAGGACCGGCTTCCCACTGGCGAACTTGCAGGAAGCTTTTTGAGAGTGGGAAAGGTCTTCAACTCGTGGTGATATCTAGGAGTGATTGGCTGAAAGTGGCCACAATGGGATGCAAAAACTCAAAATAGAGCCTATTGCGGCAGGTAGAAATTACGACTGGTAGAATGGCAGTCCGACCAATGTCATGTTCTTGGCAGGACTTTCAGCCTTACACACGGCAGAGCCTCTGCACAAGTGCCTGGGCGAAACGAAAGGGAGCTCATTTGGGTTTCTGTTGTTTGAATTCCGGCTGGTGAAGCTAAAGGAAAGCCAAAGGAGAAACCGCCATGCTTTAGTTTTCCCCTTTGCACCCCATTTTCTGGCCTTCGGCCGATCACGTTTTGGCAGGTTTCATTGTCATCTGGCGCGGAGCAACTCTCCAGCTATGCTTCTGCCCAGGGATTCACGGCTTGGTGGTTGGCTGGTGCATGCATTTTTTTTTTTGTAAACTGATGGGACTTATTGACAGTGGTAGTAAAGCTGGGCAATGGTGTATTGGACGGTTACTGGTTGAAGCTCGTTTGCGGAATCGCATTCCATGTCTCATATGCATCAGTCAGCCTTGGACATCATCTAATCCGACTCTCCAGGCTTCAGCATTGCGAAACCTGACTGCTCACTGTCTTCATTGGCTCAAGTGCTGCGTGGAGTGGCCAACACAAGCTCATTTCTTTGGTGCTTGCCACTCCAATGGTCTTCTGAAACTCAGGAGGCTCGTCGGTGTGCATCGTTCGCGCTGGTCTCAAACCAAACCTGAAATGTAATCATCCCTTGCTTCCTGCTCCTGGAGCCCAGCTGATGAAAGCCTTCCATTTTACAGCAGCCCTGGAATCATGCTCAGCCGATCTTGCACCCGGCTGCTGTCTGCGCCAAAGTGTGCATTACCCCAGGTCACAACAGTCCCAGATTCAAGAACGGCAGCAAAAGCACTGCCACTTGCTTGGATGTGCTGGACGTTCCTCAGCTGCTCTTGCACCTGCCTGCTGTCTCCACCGTTTTCTGGAGAACCCCAGGTCACAACAGCCCCAGATTTAAGAATGGCAGCAAAAGCTCCCTGAGTTGCTTGGACGTGCCGGACGTCCCTCAGCTGCTCTTGCACCTGGTTACTGTCTCCACCGTCTTGGCTGCTGTCTCCATCATTTTCTGGAGAACCCCAGATCACAACAGTCCCAGATTCAAGAATGGCAGCAAAAGCAATGCCACTTGCTTGGATGTGCTGGACGTTTCTCAGCTGCTCTTGCACCTGGCTGCTGTCTCCGCCCTTCTCTGGAGAACCCCAGGTCACAACAGTTCCAGATTCGAGAACGGCAGCAAGAGCACCGTAAGTTGCTTGGATGTGCTGGACGTTCCTTAGCTGAACTTGCACCCGGCTGCTGTCTCCGCCAAAGAGTGCATCACCCCAGGTTACAACAGTCCCAGATTCAAGAATAGCAGCGAAAGCACCCTGGCGGCTTGCTTGGATGTGCTGGACGTTCCTCAACTGCTCTTGCACCTGGCCGCTGTCTCCGCCGTTTTCTGGAGAACCCCAGGTCACAACGGCCCCAGATTCAAGAATGGCAGCAAAAGCACTGCCACTTGCTTGGACGTGCTGGACGTCCCTCAGCTGCTCTTGCACCTGGCCGCTGTCTCCGCCGTTTTCTGGAGAACCCCAGGTCACAACAGAGCCAGATTCAAGAATGGCAGCAAAAGCACTGCCCGTGCTGGACGTCCCTCAGCTGCTCTTGCACCTGGCCGCTGTCTCCACCGTTTGCTGGAGAACCCCAGGTCACAACAGAGCCAGATTCAAGAATGGCAGCAAAAGCAATGCCACTTGCTTGGACGTGCTGGACGTCCCTCAGCTGCTCTTGCACCTGGCCGCTGTCTCCACCGTTTTCTGGAGAACCCCAGGTCACAACAGAGCCAGATTCAAGAATGGCAGCAAAAGCACTGCCACTTGCTTGGACGTGCTGGACGTCCCTCAGCTGCTGTCTCCGCCGTTTTCTGGAGAACCCCAGGTCACAACGGCCCCAGATTCAGGAATGGCAGCAAAAGCACTGCCACTTGCTTGGACGTGCTGGACGTCCCTCAGCTGCTCTTGCACCTGCCTGCTGTCTCCACCGTTTTCTGGAGAACCCCAGGTCACAACAGCCCCAGATTTAAGAATGGCAGCAAAGGCTCCCTGAGTTGCTTGGACGTGCCGGACGTCCCTCAGCTGCTCTTGCACCTGGTTACTGTCTCCACCGTCCTGGCTGCTGTCTCCATCATTTTCTGGAGAACCCCAGATCACAACAGTCCCAGATTCAAGAATGGCAGCAAAAGCAATGCCACTTGCTTGGATGTGCTGGACGTTTCTCAGCTGCTCTTGCACCTGGCTGCTGTCTCCGCCCTTCTCTGGAGAACCCCAGGTCACAACAGTTCCAGATTCGAGAACGGCAGCAAAAGCACCGTAAGTTGCTTGGATGTGCTGGACGTTCCTTAGCTGAACTTGCACCCGGCTGCTGTCTCCGCCAAAGAGTGCATCACCCCAGGTTACAACAGTCCCAGATTCAAGAATAGCAGCGAAAGCACCCTGGCGGCTTGCTTGGATGTGCTGGACGTTCCTCAACTGCTCTTGCACCTGGCCGCTGTCTCCGCCGTTTTCTGGAGAACCCCAGGTCACAACAGAGCCAGATTCAAGAATGGCAGCAAAAGCACTGCCACTTGCTTGGACGTGCTGGACGTCCCTCAGCTGCTCTTGCACCTGGCCGCTGTCTCCACCGTTTTCTGGAGAACCCCAGGTCACAACAGAGCCAGATTCAAGAATGGCAGCAAAAGCACTGCCACTTGCTTGGACGTGCTGGACGTCCCTCAGCTGCTCTTGCACCTGGCCGCTGTCTCCACCGTTTTCTGGAGAACCCCAGGTCACAACAGGCCCCAGATTCAAGAATGGCAGCAAAAGCACTGCCACTTGCTTGGACGTGCTGGACGTCCCTCAGCTGCTCTTGCACCTGGCCGCTGTCTCCACCGTTTTCTGGAGAACCCCAGGTCACAACAGAGGCAGATTCAAGAATGGCAGCAAAAGCACTGCCACTTGCTTGGACGTGCTGGACGTCCCTCAGCTGCTCTTGCACCTGGCCGCTGTCTCCACCGTTTTCTGGAGCACCCCAGGTCACAACGGCCCCAGATTCAAGAATGGCAGCAAAAGCACTGCCACTTGCTTGGACGTGCTGGATGTTCTTCAGCTGGTCTTGCACCTGGCCGCTGTCTCCACCGTTTTCTGGAGCACCCCAGGTCACAACAGTCCCAGATTCAAGAATGGTAGCAAAAGCACTGCCACTTGCTTGGACGTGCTGGACGTCCCTCAGCTGCTCTTGCACCTGGCTGCTGTCTCCGCTGTTTTCTGGAGCACCCCAGGTCTCAACAGAGCCAGATTCAAGAATGGCAGCAAAACCACTGCCACTTGCTTGGATGTTCTTCAGCTGCTCTTGCACCTGGCTGCTGTCTCCGCCGTTTTCTGGAGAACCCCAGGTCACAACAGAGCCAGATTCAAGAATGGCAGCAAAAGCAATGCCACTTGCTTGGACGTGCCGGATGTTCTTCAGCTGCTCTTGCACCTGGCCGCTGTCTCCACCGTTTTCTGGAGCACCCCAGGTCACAACAGTCCCAGATTCAAGAATGGCAGCAAAAGCAATGCCACTTGCTTGGACGTGCCGGATGTTCTTCAGCTGCTCTTGCACCTGGCCGCTGTCTCCACCGTTTTCTGGAGCACCCCAGGTCACAACAGTCCCAGATTCAAGAATGGCAGCAAAAGCAATGCCACTTGCTTGGACGTGCCGGATGTTCTTCAGCTGCTCTTGCACCTGGCCGCTGTCTCCACCGTTTTCTGGAGCACCCCAGGTCACAACAGTCCCAGATTCAAGAATGGCAGCAAAAGCAATGCCACTTGCTTGGACGTGCCGGATGTTCTTCAGCTGCTCTTGCACCTGGCCGCTGTCTCCACCGTTTTCTGGAGCACCCCAGGTCACAACAGTCCCAGATTCAAGAATGGCAGCAAAAGCAATGCCACTTGCTTGGACGTGCCGGATGTTCTTCAGCTGCTCTTGCACCTGGCCGCTGTCTGTTTTCTGGAGCACCCCAGGTCACAACAGTCCCAGATTCAAGAATGGCAGCAAAAGCAATGCCACTTGCTTGGACGTGCCGGATGTTCTTCAGCTGCTCTTGCACCTGGCTGCTGTCTCCGCCAAAGAGTGCATGACCCCAGGTCACAGCCTTGTCCCCGTGGCCATGCCAAGCAAACGCCCAAATGGTAGCAGCCAGCAAACGCCCAGCTGCACAACTGCAGTCACCACGTCATGTCGCAACCCGGCCTCGCTGAGCGTGGCCGTGGAAGTGAGCTGCCGGCCTTTGGCAATGAGCTTCAAGCGCTGGAAATGCTGCTGTGCTGCAGCCTTGAGCTCGCCGGCAAGCATCGCCGGCGAGACTTCCATGGAGCAACCATCTCCACTGGGAAAGAGAACATCCACCTTCATGGCACGGAACAGTTGCACAACACAATGTCGGGACACAAACATGTAAAACTTCGAGGCTCTAGCATTTGCAAGAGCTCAATTCCTATGATACAACCATGAAAGTCCCAGGCCTATGCGGATTTCGGTCTTTGCTTTCATTTACCAATGTGCCATTTTGGGTACCAATCTTTTGAGCCGCAGCCATCCATCCAGCCAGACCGCAATTTTGGTGAGAGAGACGTTCAGCGGGAGATCGATCGCGGCAACCGGCTATGGGCCTGACAGGCGGATTGCGTTCCAGGTGAATCAGACCCAAAGGAGACCCAAAACCCGAGGATTTCGAACACATCTTGACTTCGGACTTCAACACAAACCGTAGCCTTTGGGTGCTAGCAAAGCAACGGTCCATTTCAGGGGGTGTCTCCGGTAACCGACCCGTGGCCGGTAACCCAGCCCACTTGTACTGGTCGTGTTTTTGCTACCTGTCTGAGCTTCAGCGACGGGTCTAAGAGCAATCGCCAAAACCTGCCGCAGCAAATGCCCACAGCGCAGCGATGGCAGGCCCATGAGTTCACTGGCTGCAAGTGAGGCAAGCAACAGGCTCACAAAACGCTTTAGGAGTCGCCTAGCAGTCAACCAGCCCTTTGCTAACTTTGGCAAACAGTATCCCATTTGTTTCTGACATGCCGCCAAAAAGGCACAGAGCTCACTGCCACGAATGCCATCGTTGACTGCAGAGCCACCATTGATGAGCTACACACTTGAAGCGTGAGTACTCTAAACAGGTACCTGGAGTCTCCATGACCCTGAAAACATGGGGTCATCCCCCAAAATTAAAAGGGGTTGTGACCCCATTTTTAACGGGTCAGGGAGCCTCCAGGCACACTCATCCATTTGCTCTCTTTTCCAACATCCACGCTCCCACCTGTGCGGTGTCCCGCATCCGCCGTTGGACAGAAGCCTGGAACGGAAGGCCACAGCCTCCGCATAGGGTTGATGTGGCCATGGGTCAAAATCCAAATTCCGTACCCCCAGTGAACATCCCAATCCAACCACTAAAATCTTGACTAAAATGGATGGTGAATTCACCTACCCCAAAATGGGATCCCGTTGGTTTTGACCCACAGCCACGTATTCGCTTCACCCAGCTGTCTACATGCCTAGGTCGCTTTCTGAGAAAGCCATATCACCGCATAGCTCTTTTTATGACAGGACTGGACTTAAAGCTGCAAATCAGGTTTCGATTGGATTGCGACCATCTTTGGGATGACCGTTCCCTTCAGTTGGTCAAGTCCATTGCTTCATAGTGAACTCAAACACGTCTGCAAATACTGGAGCATTTGCCAGCCTGCGACCAAGTCAAATGCATGGGATTAAGATGAGGCTGAGCAATCTCTTGTCTGCTAGTTGTTCATGACACAATGAACCACTTCATTGATTTGTAGCAAACAGCATTCTCCGGCTCCAACACCAAATGCATCACCAACCTTCCCTGGCCATTCACAAGTTGCTTCGGCTGAGATATGTCCAATGATTGCAAAGCCTGACGGAACCTCGTAAAAGCATTCTTCATCCCGAGTCGAGCGAGCCTTTTTCCTAGAGGTCAGCCACGGATGGCTGACCCTGAACATTGGCCCGCGACACACACGCACACATTAGCACGTGCTGATTCTCATGTAGATGGCTGTGTGTCAAAAATCGTTACCCCAAATGGAACCCTAGTAAGTGGAAACATGGACCGCAGGTGTCTTAATTTTGACCCATACCCATATGTTGGAAGGCACATAGTTCTGGGCCCCTTTGAAAGCTGCCCTGTTCCACCCCGAAACAAAGAGCAGAGTTGGCCTCTGATGTCAGGGATGCGCGGCTTCCCAAAACGCTGTCCTGCGCAAACCGAGCCCAAGGCCAACCCAGGGAGAAAAAAAAACAGGACGGGCATTTCCAAACCCATGCACACCTGCAAAGGTCTGGGCCCCAAATGAACGCGCCAACTGTGGCCTCAACCTGGGACTGAACTAGGCGTTAGGAAGAAGCAGACACGGCGGGATTCCCCGTTAAAAGCCCTCTTGTCTGAGTGCGTGCTTATGCTTGCCTCAGGATCGGGCGGCCTTTTACTGTTTTTTTTCTCCTTTTTTTTTTTTCTTCTTTTTTCACCCCCTTTCTTTCTTCTTTTTTCCCCTGGAGCACAACAACTCCTTGCTCCTTATTACGCCCCGTCTCAGCTCCTCAGGTCAACCATGATATGGCCGTGGGTCAAAGTCCGAATTTCGTAGCCCCAGTGAACATCAACCAATCCAACCACTAACATCTCGACTAAAATGACTAAAATGGGTGGTGAATTCACCTACCCCAAAATGGTACCATTGGTTTTGACCCACACTCATATGTCAGATCCAAACACATCCCTTGGCATGGCCTCCTGTGATCCAGTACATGCTGTAAGCAGAACATACCGGCTGCATGTCAACACATTCGGGACCTTTGCATGGCATTGCTTGCGTTTCCGCTGCAATCGTCCCAAGCCATTCCGTGGGGACACGCAGGGAATTCGGAGTTTCCCAGGGCGAGTCATCCATAGGTGGAAACAGGGTTGTACCTTGCCATGAGGATAATTCTCGTGAACTACCTAAGCAGGGGACCGATGTGGGTTTGGGGGTTCCCTCCAACATTTGGCCATGAAGCCATGGGCCCAACATAAAGCGAAATCTGAGTATGGTGGTCCTCCATGGTGAGCTGGACATGATCCTGTTGAAACTGTAGCTCCTGTGTTTGGGGCTTCCTGGAGAAAATAGAAAACTACCCAGTTGGCTTTCTCAGCCAATGGAAGTGTTGAAACCTGAATGCAGATTGACCACCAGCCAGCCTCCTCCCCCTTCCCTGGCTTGCGAATTCTCCGGCCTCCGGCGAAGGTCGTGGCCTGGCGATAGCCAAACGAAGCCAAGGATCCGAAGTGGGCAACCCTCCCAGCTTCCATACCTCGAAAGGGAAGACTTGGCTCCACAGATTTCGGGAAGCTTTCGTGTTTGTCTGAGGGAACCTGTTGAGTTAGTCTGAGTTGGGTGCATCTTTCCCTCTTGGGGTCTTCACCGACCTGGCGACAAACAAAATCTGAGCTTAGTGTAAGATGTGCCTCATTCCTGGTCACATTCGCAGAATCCCCTTCCAAGGTCGCACAACCCTTCTTTGGACAACAAGCAAGCAAGCAAGCAACGGGAGGAGCAAGGACAGGGAAGCAATTCCTGGAACACTCAGCCGTCTTGTCTCTTCCCCGATCCCCAATCTCCGACTGCCTGCCTGGGCCCCTGCCTGTTTGCCTCTCCGACCTGCTCTACATGCCTTTTTCTTCCAACGTTTTGGCAGACTTTTTTACCACGGTTTTTCCCCAATCTCCGATTGATGCCTTCAAATACCGCCTGGCACGCCAAAAAAGCACCGAGGCCCCCCGCGATTTCAGCACATAGGACACCTGACCCAAGGAGTGTTGGCCTGAAGGGCGCAACGAGTTTTCCGTTGCTCGATGCCCAAAGGGCCCCTGAACGAAGTCTTGCCGTTTGACCCTCTGGCCAGGGGATTCCCACTCAACAATACAATTCCAGGCTTCGTTTTCCTTTCCAGTCTTTTTTCCCAGCTGAAAGCTTTGGGGTCGCTCCGGCGGCCCTGAGGTAAGGTTCGAGCTTCCACCAGGGTTCCACCAGGAATTCACGAGGTTCTGCGAGGGCGAGCGCTAAAAAGAGCACAGCATGCTGTTAGGAATATCGCCTGAGCCTTTTTTGTTTTGTTGTGGGGGGGGGGGGGAATGGATGGGTGGGGGGGGGGGGTGATTGTGTTTGTTTCCCACCACCGTGCTTGTTGAGTTGCGGCATCCCTCGCCATTGCGAACTCGGGACACCACATTGCTCTGAGTCCTCTGCCAGTCGGACCCAAGTGCTGTACTCCATAAGTTGTAAGGTCATCTTCATAAAGCCCAGGGTAATTATTATCTTACCTGTATGATTCATTTTAGTAATATGTGCATTAATCGATTTTATTCATGTCTGTCCATCACCTCTAATAAAATGGCTTGAAGAATAGATAGCCTCTGGAGGTGAATCATAGGAAAGAGATGGTTCCCTTGCATGCCATGGCTTCTCCATGCTTTCCCAAGCGCATGCAAACCAATACCACATGCTGAGTCTTTAACATGCTGTCATTCCTTCCCATCTTTTCGTTTGTTAGGTAATTCCCAACTCTCAATGCTGGCTTTTGGACCTTCCTTGACTTGCGGTTGAACTCAGATAATGACTATTCGCTTCTCCCGTCCATTCACCACCTAATAATTTCTGCTGAAGGACGCCCTTGAAAGGCAGTCAGGAATACAGGGATGGGAGATCTGTGACAGAGAGACTTCCCGTGGCGTGACATGAGATAGAAAGATAAGTCACTTGACCGCGGGCCAACATCTTGGACGAGTTTGTTGACTTTCTGTATGTCAAGTTGACAGATCGTAGAACTTTAATGTGGTATCTTATTTTGAAGTGATGACAATGATAGCGCTCTCAAGATAGACCATTAAAATCATGAGGGACCCAGGAACTAACGAGACTAGCCACGAAGACGAGCCGAGGCACCGCTCCACAAATTCTTGTTTCAATGATTGCGGCACTGCAAACTCGCCGAGGCACTTTGGAAGGCACTCCCAGCAACATCGTCCTGGCAGGCTGTACACATCTCAAAGTCGGACGTTGAGTGTCGCACTAGGCGACGTGAATAATCCATGCAATGCTTGTTCCTTTCACACGAAAGGTGCACACATTTGATGAGAAATGCGGCGAGACCAACACGGCCCATGCCCATTCGTGGCCATTGCGTACTTTGTGGGTGTGATGTCGAGCCAGCGTGTTGAGAAGCCAGGTTCCCAGGGACTCAATGAAGAAGGACAGTCGTTCTGGCCATTGCATAGTAAAAACACTGCTGAGGACAACACTCGTGCGCATCGCTGCCTCTTGACAGCGCCATGATCATCATCTGAAAACCGATTGATGCCATGCTCAAACATCCAACGCGAGGCATAGCAAGATCAGCAACTCTTGGGCCTGGTTGTTTTTAATAGGCTCCGATGGAACCATTTTTGTAATTTGGGCATCAATCAGCAATCGATCAGCTTTCCCATCAAATTCCCAATCAATCAACCAACCAATCAACCAACCAACCAACCAATCAATCAGTCAATCAATCAATCAGCAATCAATCAAATTACCCATCAATCAGCCTGGTTGAACTGTTGGTTGAACTGTCCCCTCTTTGCCTGGCAATTTGCTTTCCCCTCCGCCGCCGGTCCGACCGCTTTGGACTGTTTCTCGCCTCTGATCTCGCCGGGCTCGCGCTCACAAGGCGCTGGCCTGCCCGCGCTGTTCGCCCGCAGCCGGAAGAAACACCGGACCCCAGTGCCGCCGATTTTTGGGGCGCGCCTTTTCTGTGACTGTAAAGGGGACACCAAGAGGAAAACCATTTGTTTTTTTGTTGGGGGGGGTTCCCCTGAAAAAGGACCACCCCTTGGCAGTTTTATATATGTGATACGCGTTTATAACCATTGGCATGATCGGCATTGGGCCAAGGGAGCTGACACGAGAAACTTTCGAACACTCGTCTTGGACCCGGGAGTTGCATTCTGAATGGAGACAGAGCAATCATGTTGAGCAGACTTGAACATAGGGCGGGCACTGGAATCCAATAGCACACCGCAATGACATCGGGTTCTTTTGCATCTTTGGCGCCAACATGAGCCACCTTGTCAGCGGAGGATGCATCGAGCCAAGCTTTGAGGCCCTCTGATAGCCTAGGGGCACGACAACGTGAGACAAGATAGGTGTGGTTCTGTGGGACTCCAACATCGGCTTTTGGGGAGACAACATGGAAGTAACGACCCGGCTGCTGATTTGGAGTTGGCGCTGAAAAATGCAATGCTGCCAATAACATGACAGCCAGCGATCAGCACGTTCGCGTAAGAGACAACTAGCTTCCCAAATGCGTCCAAGTCCTATGGAACAAACAGCACAAGCAGTGACTGGGCGGCTTCTTCAAAAACACTTGTGAATGGCACTGTATGCCCCATCGAAGCTGCAATCACTTGCTGACCCAATCAAAAACCCTACGATACTCCCCTCGCTTGCTTTCTGCTAAGCCCTGCCAGTGAAACTTTCAGTGGTTTAATACGGAAAAAGGCCATTAGCGGGCAAAAAGCTAAAGTCCTAACATCCAAGCAAAAACCCTGCACTCCTGACTGCTGCAGCCTCGTTTGGCTTCCTCTTTTGGCCCCAAGCCCTCGGCACCTGCAGGCTGCAAACAGCCATCGGCACCTGCGGGAGGCAGCGCCTGGGCAGGCACTGGCTTCTTTGGGTAAAGGGTTTGGGGTTTGGCGTGCAGCTTCTCGTTTTGCTTTTTCCCCCCCCCCCAACAGCTGAAAGCTTTGGGGTCTCAGCCCAGATAGGCTCCGGGGTGGTCCGGGGCCCTGAGGTAAGGTTCCAAGAGGGTTCCACCAGAGTTCCACGCGGTTCTGCGAGGGCTGCGGGGTGGTGCGAGCACTAAAAAGAGCACCGCATCTCAGCCGCGGCATTTTGCTGCGCCGGCTGTGTCTCGCTGCCCGATCTGCCGATTTGTTGGCCCTTCGCGTCGCCGTCCGCCAGAGTCTATTTTGCAAACATGATTGCCAAAACTCTCACACGCTGGCCCTAGTAACAGAACTCAACATCTCTGAAACCTGATCGCCAGCTGACCCTGCAAACAAAAGCCAGGACAAAACAACTTTTCACAAAACACGCACCACAAAGCCTGGAAGCATAGAAACACATTTTGGGTGACACGGGCAATCCAATTGGTCGATGACTTACTTAGAGATTGCGTGATTGGTTACTTGCGCATGTCACTTTTATACTCCAAAGTCGCCATGTTCCAGAAAGAGCTGGCGGAGCGTAGTTCACATCCTACTTCTACACTGACTGAAACGTTGCGATTTGCAAGCTGGAGCTGGAGACTACTTCGAGTACTACATTTGTCACTACAGCCTGCGGTTTCCAAGTTCGATATTCGAGCTGCAGCAGGCATACTTCGCGTACAGCTGTCGGTGCTCGCAAGTTACACTTTCCAAGCTCCAGCTGCGGGAACAGGGATGTTGCTTACGGGGTGAATCGCGACTTTTCTCTCTCAAATTCTTTGGACAGCAACCGAGGTTCAACATGTTGACCCCCACCTTCACAGCTCATGAGTTGAGCAGCTCCCGTACTCCCGTCCCTTGGCCTGACGCAGGGCCGACGTCTGCAGGGGCGGCAATCTGCGAGCGCCACAAAAGCAAACAGAAGCTGGCCCGGGAAGCCCATTGTGGATCTGACAATGTCAAATGAGCCCCATTGACTGTGATTTGGGCCGAAGCTCATGAGCAAACACACCGAATGTGAAAGGTTGCAGCCAAACAAAGCGGAACACACTCTGGGAGCCTTTAGCTCCCAGAATCACACGGGACCAACCCCGAAGAAGAGCCTTAAGGCTAGACGCACCCAGCCAAGTACGATTCTTCAGCACCTCAGCCCCAGACGTGGTTTCAACACATTTAGGAGGAACACGACCTTCCCTAAGATACCAGTTTCGGAGTTCCGGAGCAGCTCCGAATTCAATTCTGAGAGGCGTAAGAACTAGAAACATCTCAGGGATCCTAAACCTGACACTATGCAAGGCATGGAGTTGCACCCTGCCCGACATCCTGGGAGTCGCCGTGCAATTTGGCCCTGCCGTGTGCGAAACTGGGGATCACTTGGTTGGAAGACTGTCATCTCTCTTTGTCGATCCATGACTTCAAATCTTTGAGGTTCAGTTGCAAGCGCAACCAGGAGCTCCAAGGTCTGAGTGGGCCATGGTGGTTTCAATGCTACGGCTCTTGACAAAAGTGGTCTAAAACCAGCTGCGTCAGTGTAATGTTTAGGTTGGCTTCTAGACCATGGGATCGTGGGACCTGGCAAGCAAACGGTGGACAATTTTGAGCACGGCCAGTCAGCCCATCGGACCAATTGCAACACCACGCTCCCGTTGCCTGGAGCTCTCGCTTGGCAAATCCTCAGCTTGTGACGGATTGCTTCGCCTGGGATGGTGCTAAAGTGCGACCCATGACCCAACGGCCGTGACCGACCTGCCGACAAAAAGTAGATGCCATTCTTCTCGGCAAAGGGCCAGCGAGCCGCGGCAAAGGCCCTTGTGGTTTCCCACTAAGGGCAGTTCTTTTCTTTCATTTTTTTTACATCCAAGGTGGTAAAAAAACGACAGCAACCTTCTTTGCACCTCAAACCGGGTGGGGGACTGATTCATGCTAACTTTGTGATGATTCGTGAACCCCACCCTCCCGGAATCGGTGGGCACAAACATTCTTGAGCACGCCGAGGCTCGCCAGAGCGAGGGGAGATTTGCAGGGGCTCCTTGGACAGCTCCTCCTCCTGAAAGACGCAGCTGTTAAAGGATCCGCGCAACTTGCTCAGTGGGTTTCTCCTTTGGAGCCATATCCAGCAAGTGGACTTCTGACGGATTTTGATGGCATGCTGCAAGCCGAAAAAAACATCCAAGACGAGAGGTCAGGCTGCGTGGCATCCTCGCACAAAGTTATATAACTTGTCGAGAAGGATGCCCAATGGCCCCTTTTTCTGATTCTTCCGTGGTCTTTAACTCAGATGCCCAGTGGCCATGGAAAAAAAGGGCACCCTTTTCTTGGTTGGTTGAGTTGAAAGGAAAACCCTTACCCAAAAAAAGGAAAACACACACCACTGGGCAGCAAGATTAAGGGCCAGCGCCTTGCAACGGAGAACTGAGGCACCGAAACAAGGGTTCGCACAGTCTCGTAGAGCACCCTCCAACCTACATGGTGGGCATTTGCAGCCCCAAAAGGCGGCGAGCGTGCAGGTCGCAACTAGTCCACCAAGCTGGAGTCTTGGATTCATACGCCCTTGGCACGTTTCTTTTGAGACGCAATCGTGGATACCTCCCCTGCTTGGAAAGGACTGGGTTGTCTAGTCAACATAAGCAAAGAGAGGATACTGAGGTGGTAGCAAAACCATTGTACTATGCCAGTTTCTTTGTCGTTTATTGGTCGGCCAGATGTCGGTTCATCTCTTTTGACACTATATAAGCTGTCCCTTCGGTTGTCAACTGTTGGACTCATTTAGACCATCCGCACCCTCGAAACACACCCAAAATGGACTTCACCGGAGCCAATTGAATGGGGCAACGACCAAGCAAAAAGTTGACACCGCAAACACCTCGGCTTTACAGGTGACTGGGGGGAGCTGGGGGCTGCAATCCATCATAGCGTTCCGCTCAATGGACTGGCCTCATGGATGAAAAGCTTGCTAGGACAACCACTCCTTGAACCCCAAGCCACCGCCCATGCCATTCAATACGAGAAAATGGTCGGAACATCGGTATTTCCTCGTTCAGATTTGGCACACCTGTTAACCCTCCCACCAACTAATATGGAAGTGAAAAACGGCCCTTTCCAAGAGGAAAGTAGTCTGTCTCCCATGTTAGCTGGTGGGAGGGTAGATCTCCCCATTTTGCACCTGCGCTAGCGTCCAGAATCCCAAAGTCCCAACGTCCTTGCCCAGGAGGTCGGCGAACCAGTCCAAGTGCGTGTTGGCTGGAATGGGTGGTGCGTCGCCGCCAAACTTTTCCTCGGGTCGAGCGCACTGAGCCGCGTTGAGGCACTGGTCTTTTGCATCAAACGAGCATTTGGAGCATGGAAAGCATTCTACGTGGTGAGGAAGACAGGCAGCAACACATCACGTGAGCATGCTACCAAACTGACACAACTTGAAGCGTGTTGGGTGGGAAGTCACATCCTTTCTCCAACCCTTGACATGAGAAACTCTCAGGGCCTCTTTCCCAGATGAGCTCGCAGTGTCACAAAAGAGAGCTCATAAACGGCACAATCAACCCAGATGCCCAGTGGCCATGGGAAAAAGGGCATCCTTTCTTGGTTGGTTGACTTTAAAGGGACACCCTTCCCCCAATAAAAGGAAACACGGGCACCACTGGGCAACTTGGAAGGACTAAAGCACGGGAGGCCGAGGTGCTTTGAGCTTGGCAATGCGCTGGCGCAGGTCTTGCTCAGCAAGCGTCAGCGCCAGGCGATTGAATTCTACGAAAGTGGCCTGCCGATTCGTGCCCGTGGGCTGGTGGCTCTCGCCCGCTTCGCGAGACATGCCCAAACAAACATTATTTTTGTTTGTTTGTTCAAGACATCCCGTCTGGTCCACTGTTCAGCCGAACTGTGACATGGGCTGCAAGGTTTGGCGGAAAAGCACCTGATCAATGCCGTTCTAGTCCAAAAGCCATTGGCACGAATAAAAGGCTCGACAAGCCTTACACAGAGTACACTCCTTCAAGGCCGGGTCAGCGTGATACCATCACCACTTGAATAGCGCATACTTAGCAACTCCATCAATGGAACGGAACACCTGGCCAGTCAGAAAACTCCTTCCTGCAGGAGCATAGGATCATTGACACATTTACTCTGCACCCCCAGAAACAGCCCCTCTGGTTCCAAACCCCATACCAGCGCAAGCAGTGGGCGAGGGCGGATGTTGTTGCTTGTGATTAGTTCCATGTTCCTCCAGGGTTAATCTAACATTCAATGCTCAAAAGCCACACCCTGCTTGCAATGCTCATTGCCAATTAAATTCAGGGCTGCAACCGCGTTTGCCTGTTGAGGGGTGACATCGTCGCCCAAAAGATGCCACCCAGAATACATCCATCCGCCTCGTCAAAACCGCAAGGACAACATACGGGCCACGTTGGATCCATCTTGAGGGTGCATCCAAACAAAGGAACATCCCGAACATGCACAAATTCCCTAAGAGTCATTTGCAGGGGTTCATCAATGCAAGGTTCACATTGCGTGGTACGCATCTTTGACTCTTCTGAGCTCTGATACGGGGTGGCCAACAATATATCTATACATCATGTATATCGGCTTGATGTTGCCAAAACGACGACGTGTTGGGCATAACGTCTTCAATCAGCCGCCGGATTCAAGTATACCCTCTTTTTGATATATCCCACTGTTTCCACTTCCACTGTATTGACCGAAGGAACTGCGCAACCGCGAAGCTGGAACTCCCGTACCAGTGAGATAGGAGACGTGGCAAGGCAAAGTGCTCTGGCTCTCTGGAAGGCCACACTTTTTGCTGAAACACACACCCAATTGACATGAACATTCCCTTCTTCCATTTGCTTAATTCCCTAGAAAAACAACAACATGTGCAGTAGTGACAGATTCCCTTTAAAACCAACAAGGGAGAAACATTTTTTTCTTAAGCAAATGGACGTATTTTAGGAATGCCCGGGTCTTGAGTCTCACTCGCCTCGTTCACCGCTCGTTCCGGAGGCCCTGGGTACACCTCCTGGACCGCCGCGAAGATCCGCTGCTGGGTGCCCACGTCTTTGCAGGAGACCCGCTGGATGAAGGGGAGGCAAACCTTGGGAAACAAACCCCACTGGTCATTGATTTTTTGAGGTGCTGGTGTTTTGCAAATGTAGTCCTCAATTTCATAAAGGTGCATCCCCAAAAATCATCAAATTGCAACGTTTGCAGCTTCGCTCCGACCGAACCGGACGGAAGCGGAAGTCGTTTAAGCAACCACAAAAAAGCACAGCTGAAAAAGTGCAGCCAATGATGTGCTGTGGTGTTTACTGCCTATATTCACACACACACAAATTGAAGTTGTTTTCATTCAAAAAGAAAGGATATCACAGATTTTCGCCTCACTCATTACATTGAAACGGTCGTTTTTTATCCCCAGTTGCTGAACGTCCAGTTGAGCTTGAAGTTGGCCACAGATGTTTGACCCCAAATGGGGCCTGCCCTTTTGACTGAGACAACAAAAGCTTGCCACACAATACTTAGCATTCTTCTAGGCATGCACAGATGCAGCCGTGTCTCAACACACACACACACAAACATATATACATATATATATATATAAATCTACATACATATATTGTACGCATAAACCCATCTGTCCCTTTCCGTCCCTGTCTCACTCGCTTTCATTGAACACACACACACATGCATTGTACATGTGCAAACGCATGCTTGCTTGACACGCATGTAACAGGGCTGTGTGATCACGCAAACAGCAGTACCCTGCAGGCACCTGACAGCAAGTCGGAATTGCCACGGCTGAGAAGTGGCTCTGCAAAACCGCTTTGAGCCCATCGCTCTCCACACACACAGCACACCAGTACAGGGTGGAGCTAAAACCCAAAAGCTGACAGCTTGCAGACACCCCCAAAACACTGACCCAATGCGAATCCACGGACACATAGCAGCGACCTGAAGCAAAAAGCAACAGCCCAGTTGAATGAGAACTCGGGAATCAAACCCTGCAAATTATTGACTTCAAGGGCAACTGTGCTACGAGTACCACTGAGCTATAGAATTGTGGCTTTTCCACGATGATCGCAACCAGCCAAAAAGCAGATGCAAACTTCCGCAAAGCCCAGAAGCGCCCTCGTGCCGCGAGAAGCAACATGCACTCCAAGACACTCAACATTTCGTTTTCCGTTGCCGTTCTTTGAGCTGCGTGCGTAACTCTACTGCCTGTAAGCTGCTTCATCACAAGACAGGCAAACACCTTTACCCAAGGAATTGGTCGACTACGAAGGCCAACAATCTCTTTTGCGGAAACCACACAGGGACGAGGATCTTATGGGCTAAACGAACAAAGTAGGCCAAATTTGCCTTCGCCCATTTCGATGGCCCAAAACCCAAGCCACAGTTCAGAGCACTGGCCTGTCGGCCTATCGGCCCATCGGCCCAGGCAGGTTGCAAGCGAGTGGCCTCTTCCCAATCGGATTTGGACAGAGCAGGCACACGCCTTCTGCAGCACTCCTAGCACGCATCCGTTCGAGGCGTCAGAAAGTGACATGTGCATTCTGTGTGGCACCCTCAAACATGGTTTCCTATGAATACCCTTCGAGCATAGGGAAACTCAAAATCTGATGGCAAGCGCATAAGCGCATCGCCGAAGGACATGATCTCGCGTGGATTTCACTCGGACATGCGCACCATGTAATTTGAGTCAGGGACCTTCTTGAACGAGGGCAGCAATCCCAGGCCGCGGAATGTCTCCGCGCCCTGATGAACAGCCCCAGTTGCCCTACTGATCGCATCAAACCTACGAGATGCGCCTGAACTGGCACTGTTGGGTTGGACGGCATCGCTGCACTGCTAGATGCACGGGCCACAGTACTAAACATGCTGTCGCTGTGGATGCAAACTTGCCTGTCAAGAAGCGTGGATGAGGTTTGATACTCGCACAGCCTTGCGAGACCTGCTTGCAACACGCAAAGGCAGGGGCATGTGTAGCAAAACACATGTCAAATATACGCACATGCTGTGCAACCTCAGGGTTGAAAAGCAAGTTGCCACAGTTTATGCTGGACTTTGTGGCGGTCGGCAACCTCGGCAATCTGCTGACAAATCCTATTCCACCACACACTTCCAGCTAAACTTTCATCGGAGCGTTTTGATACAAGATCGCTCGGTAAAATTTCCCGCCCCAAGCACTTTCATAAGTCTCTTGCATTGGAGATTATGTAGATTTCCTGGGTATTGCGCATCTGCATGCTGGCTGCACTTGCAATTGCTGGTTGCTACTCTCACTTCCTGAGTGGATTGGCCAAAAAAGTTTCTACCACTAGAAAAGGTCTTCCCAAAAAAGTGACCGAAGTCCAACTCGTGAGGTGACTCATTTGGTATCTGCCCCTCGCTTCTTCTCCCTGTCTCCCTGGCCTCCTTGTAGAGGCTCCTGCACTCCTTCTGCAAGTCATCTCCCAGCTTCGAGAGGATCTGCTGCCGGAGGAAGGTGTAGTGCTCGTACTGCCTGCGCGACCTGTCGCAAACTTGAGCGGCGCATTGGGCCGTGTTTCCATTCGGAACCAATGAACACCGGACGGTAAAATGAAAGCTTGAGCAGCTGGGAGAAATCTAGTTGACGACGTTGTTACTTCGTGGAGTTTCATGTGCATTCCCTGAGCAAGATCCAGATTGGGTCAACACGTCATTTTCAGATTGCCAATTTCCCACTCACCCGCCGGATAGGTCGTGCTGAACTGGCAGGTCCATCTTTTTGGGAATGACGCATGGACCAAAGGGTACTGATCAAATCAGGCAGCCGATCCAGGGTGGTTGCCGCGTCACCAACACAAACATGTTTTTTTCCCTGGCTGGGCCACAGTTTTTCCCCCTGGCAGCTGATTTGCCGTGTTTCTTTCCAGGAACTCCGTTTCTTTGTTGGATCCAGCATGTCTGGGAAGGATCCGCTCCAAACATCTGTCACTTTCCAGGCACCCGGCTCTTGCAGATCCTCCCGGGAGCTGCAGAAGTTCCCCATACCCGGCCCAGGACCCAATGAGGAGGGGTTTAGTTTGGTGCATTGGGGCTTGTCGCCTAAGCATTCAACCCGAAACCTATGATTTTGAATTGTCCACCCTTATCATCTTTGTACAGGGCGAAAACAAACGATGTTTTCACACATTTACACAGATTATACACATCTAATGCTGCAGCTTCCTCTTTTGTGGGCGTGATTAAGTTGGAGAAGCTTGAACACATGCACAATCTTTCACGAAATCATCATGGCTGCGCAGGTAAGGAGGACTTACTTGTCGTACTTCACCTGTCATTTTCTTCTGCGGCCATGCCGGTATGTGTAGTTTGTCTTCGGTTTTTGCTCTATCCTGGAACTGTTGCTTTTGGTAAGGTAAGGCTTATGTTCCTGAACGGGAAAGGTCTCGATTGAAGCTCCAACAAGCAACGCTGCTGGAGTGCCGTCTGAGTCACCAAGCTTGAGCCGAATCGGGGGGTGAACCGGCCAAAACTGAGCTTGTGTCATGGTGAGCCAGGGATCTTCTCTAACAGCTAGCCCTGTGGTAGGAGAATCGCTGGAATCTCCCGAGCAAAACATGGCCCTATCCTGAACCAGAAGCAACTCTAGCGTCCATCGACGAAGGTCACGCATGAACGGTTTGACAGGTGAATGCTCCGACACCTTATTTCGAAGACTCCGTATACGTGCGAACTTGAACTTTCAAGATCTCCTTCAAGATGGCTCATGATGCAAACGACGACAACTCTCCTGCTCCAGCCTGACTCACTAAGATAATCACATGAATGCGTCAGGGAAGCTCCCTTGTATACCCAAGCTTTCTGTATTTTCTTCTAAGTGTCGTTTCGTGAAGTGAGCCGCGGTCATTGTGTTCCCAATTGACATGGGAATTTGATGAGCTTGGCGGGCCCCAGCCAGTTTTTCACACAAAGGCATGTGGGATGTTCCCTTGGCATTTCCCGCCCCCCAAAACCAGTCAGATGAGCCCGAAATCTTGCTGGACCTGCGCTCCGCGGCTTTTGGTCTCCAAGCCGGGGACTTTGCCCCGTTCGGCTCCGTACAGGTGAGGCCAGGGACGCGGTGGGTAGAAATTTGAGAAGCACCCCTCGAAACAGACTGCTTCAGTAGGGGAAAACTAAAAACCCATCTTGAAATAAACCAGGCCTGCTCAAGTAGCTTCTTGCCACTTTGGTCCATGTTTCAATCAGCAGAACTTCCTTTCTTTCTCGCTTTCGACATATTTTTTTATGGCTTCGCACTGCTTTGTATTGGCTCAGTACTGTGTAGTATTGGGCGAGACGCTCACGTTTTCCCGCCAGAAGCCGGACTTTTCTTATTTCCTTACCCTTTCTTCTTTTCAGGGGAATGAATTTGGGAACACTTTCCTGTAACCCCTCCTCATTCCCTAGTTGACAATATTGCCAATATCAACATTTCTTTCCTACGCCCAAATGAGGATGGAAAGCCGACCCAAACCAAACCTCCCTATTTGACATATACCCATATTTCTTGTATGGCTATGGCATCTTCCCCTTCTATGCTCTGGAGCGGTTTGGAGCGGATTGGAGGGATCCGGTTCAGTGCGGGATGGGGATGCTGGACGTTTTGCGAAATCTGCAACAGGGCAGGCACGTTCTGAGCTTGAATTTCCGGAGGAAGACACCAGCTTCACCAGTGCTGAGAGGACAAACCATTTCCCCGGCCTCAAGACTAGCCTCACGCCTTGCGCATTGACCATGGGACACCCCTGGGATATAGAGCCTTCAGGAGCAAAACCTCCCGAAGACCAAGAGAGGTACCCGTGCCTGAGTGGTTCCCGTGGTTTGTGGGATGACACCTTCCACTTGGGGCTCCCATACACGCTGCATGCTACGCGCCATGCAGAAAGCGACAACTGGACGCGCGGTACATCACCCAATTTCAGGGTGGGGGCGCGCTCCTGAAAAAACTTGACTTGCATATGCAGAGACTCACGGAGAGAGACTTGACCCAAAGCCAACTCACCAAAGGCTCAAGAAGTGGGACGAAAACCACAAAGCTTACGCCTGGCACCATTTTGACTAAGTTAGACTGAGCTAAGTTGCTCGGTGGGGCCCGCGACGCGATCAACCAGATTCATCTTCGGTGCTTTGATACTGACCCTCTTGGTACCTTTGGGTTTGGCGATAGCATTCCGCTCTGGCATGCTTTCGACCTTAGGCAAGCTGTTGCCTTTGATTGATACGACGGAGCCCAATGTGCAACAAGGTATAGCCTCAACACATACAGCAGAATAGCGAATCACTGGAACCAAACGTTACTGGGCATGGGTCATGCCATGCTGAGTGCCCAAAGCTGGTTCGCGTCTTGTGGCCATTCAGGGGTTGGGGAAAAAGCAATGGTCAAGGTTGCTTTAAGCATTGCGATTGACATTAGCTCCAATTGCATCTCAGAGGTAGAATAAGTTTTGGACTCTCCTTCCAAACCTCCACAAACAATACCTCCTTTGACTGTCGGTCTATAGAACTATGCATACATTTCCGTATATGATATGATATTATATATATATATATATGGTACCCCCCCCCCCCCCCAAAACCCAGGTTTTGTGAGAAAACACTGTAAATACCAGTGTCTTCTCACAAAAACCTGCATCTGCCAGAGCACACACTTTTCAGGCCCACTTTCTCCATCTGTCTCATTTGGCAGCCAATGCTGCAGCCAAGCACTATGATTGCGTAAGGGCATCTCTTCAACTCTCTGGAAACTGAAAAAACGGAAAAACTGAAAAAGGATTCAGGGGAACATGGGGGCTGCCCCCCCCCCCAGGCATGTCCCCCTGAATCCTTGGTTTTTCTGCATTTTCAGTTTTTTTTCATTTTTTCAGTTTTCTCCTAGCATTCACCTTTATTCTTCCCCTAGTATTGTCTGAGCAACCAAGCACTATGATTGCGTAAGGGCATCTCTTCAAGGAAGCTCTCTGGAAACTGAACAAACTGAAAAAAAACTGAAAAAATGAAAAACCAAGGATTCAGGGGGACATGGGGGCTGCCCCCCCCCCAGGCATGTCCCCCTGAATCCTTGGTTTTTCAGTTTTTTTCAGTTTTTTCAGTTTTTTTTTCAGTTTTTTTCAGTTTTTTTAGTTTTCTCCTAGTAATCACCTTTATGATTCCCCTAGTATTGTCTGAGCAACCAAGCACTACGATTGCGTAAGGGCATCTCTTCAAAGAAGCTCTCTGGAAGCTGAAAAAATGAAAAACAAATATAATAACAACAAAAACAGAAAAACCAAGGATTCAGGTGGACATGGGGGCTGCCCCCCCCAGGCATGTCCCCCTGAATCCTTGGTTTTCATGTTTTTCAGTTTTTTCAGTGTTCTCCTAGTATTCACCTTATTACTCACCTAGTATTTTCTGAGTATTCCCCTAGTATTGCCCTTGTATTCCCTTAGAATTCTCTTGGTATGCACCTAGTATTTCCTAGTAAGGGAAGGGGAATACTAGGGGAATACCTTCAGTATTGCCCTCGTATATTCCTTAAATATTCTCTTGGTACCCCTAGTATTCTCTCAGTATTCTCCTAGAATTCTTCCAGTATTCACCTTTAGTATTCCCCTAGTACTTCCCTAGTAGTGCCCTAGTATTGCCCTAGTCAGGAAGCCTGAGAAAAGTCACACATATTGAGCTTGAGAGTATACCCCTACTATTCCCTCAGTATTCACTAGTATTCTCCTTTAGTATTCCCCTAGTATTCCCTACTTAGTATTGCCCTAGTATTGCCCTAGTATTCCCCTAGTATTGCCCTAGTGTTCCTTTAGTATTCTCTTGGTATACCCCCAGTGTTTCCTCACCACCCCCTTAGTGTTCCCCAAATAGTTCACTAGCAAAGGAAGGGAATGCTAGGGGAATATCTTCAGTATTATCTAACTAACTAGGCAGCTAAATAGATAACTAACTGATTAGCCAATTAACTAGCTAACTTGGTTTAGAGCTAATTCATTACAACCAGTTACTAGTTAACTGACTAATTAGTTGACTTGCTGACTGTCTATTTTCTAACTAATTGAACTTGCCAATTTTTACAGCTTGAACTTGAAAAATATGCGTTTCGCAGAGGCGAAAATACACATGTTTCTCAAAAGTAGCATTTTTCCAGTGATTTTGGCAATTGTCCAGGTTCAAAACCTGGGTTTTGGGAGGGGGGGTAGCATATATATATATATATATGTATTCCCCACATGTTATACATGTAGCTACATACATGTACGCATATATGCACGACGGGCAATATTTCTGGCGTATCGGTTGTGAGGCCCCTAATCGGCTTGCTGCCATATTGTCGGGTATTCACCTATACACATAGAGGGTCGTGCCCAAAGCTGGGCTCTCAGCACAAGTGGCCCCTTAAAGAGGACCAAGCGGAAGCTAGCTACTTTTTGTGGCTTTCTCAATTCGACACAGTGCCACATGTTCAATAGGAGCTGCACTTTTTTTGACAACGACAAGTGGGGGAAGAGCTGCAACTGGGCTCTCAGCAGATCCCCTGCAAGTTTAATTCTTAATGGGTTAAATGGAAACTCAACCACTAAACCAACTAACAAGCTGAAAAGCTAAAAAGCTCAGGAACCGGATGACCAAGGCAAGTTTCAGGGTGCGAACACGTTAGCACAGCCTCTCTGCGCGAACACGCCCGCCCTGCCATCTGCTCCAAAGTGATTCCCTGGAGCTGACAGTCGCCGCCCGAGCAGCATCCTAACCCCTGGTTGAAGGCTCATTTGCCGGTCCCATGCTACTCATCCCACATGAAACCTATGGCATCCTATCCTCCGTGAAGCCGGAGTGCTCCGCTACTTTTTAGATGCCATCGACAGCAACACCTCTGCTGGAAACGCAAAAGAAGAGAAAAAGTCTCGACCGGAGAGTCCTTCCCTGGGGTTTGGAGCGCTGCTTCGATGGCCTACAGTCACGGCTGGCTTGTCACCGGCCTTCGCATAAAGAGATTACAGCTGGACGTGTGCCAAAAAACAAGAAAATTCTATAAAGAACAAAACACATGTCAGCCATTTGGAGGTTACCTCGAACTTGGTCGCACTCGGCCAAAGAAACCAAAGGAAGCAAGCTAGAGCACTATGTTCAGATTCCCAAGGGCCGGTAAGTTGTACGCAACATGCCAACCGCGGATATGAATTTGTAAGGTTTAATGCAGTAACAATTGTCTACATTGCAGTGCCTGTCACACCTTTCTTGCAACGCTCAATTTCACAGACCATCTTATTACGTAGCTCTTGCAGTAATTATGTCGAACTGTGTGCATAAGTCACACACACACACACACGCGTCGTTGTTTGTACGAATGCCTTGAGAGGGAGTCAAATCTGTAAACCATCCGCGACCCCATTCTGAACAAACCAAGACAAACAACAATTTGGCTGGACAAGGTTTAGCCTTCTTGATGAAGGCTCAGTCAAATCGATTGGGGACGGGAAACCTGTATAACATCTAGCTATTTGACTTCACACGGGTTGTCACATACCTTGACAGAGCCATTTCCGTGAACCCATTGAAACTCGATCACACCCCAAATCCGTTGAGAAGCCTTCAAACCAAAAACACTCCTCAGAGAATATATGCTGGCAGGGAGCTTATCAGTGGCTGACATGGCTCCAATCTGGATGAAAAGGGGTGCCAACCATGCTTTGCACAGGGTTTCTGTTTGCGCAGCTCAGCGCTCACAACAAGGCTTCTGTTGGGAGGAAGCAAGATTCCTGAAGAAGCCAACGCAAAGAAACAGCTCTGGGCCTCTTCCCATTCGAGCCGTCAATCTTTAGCTCTTCGCCTACGCATCGGCCAACAAAGCACATGGCAGCCCTGGGCCTCTCGCGAGGCCTTGGGAATTGATAGAGTAGTAGCCTGCCAGTGGGCATCTGGTGAGTCCACTGAGCTTACCGCACTGGTCCCAAGTTGCCCGTATCTAGCACCAGCAATACGGTCTAGTCATTTTGAGACATCTTTTTCTTTCAATCCGACGCTTCTATCTTCAAAGCGGTGCTTTGGTCATCAAGCAAGACCTCTGCGCCACATTGTTGACTCATTCATTTCATGAAGAAGCTGCGTTTCCGTAACACAACTTGGTCTTGCAGCACCTTTTGCTTCAAAAGGTGTTGGTGAACCGGCAAGGGCGGGCTGTTGGCAATATCCAATCATTTGTAAAGCGGCCCGAGCTCACTCGGGCCGTTTTACCCTTCAGCCTCCCACCCGAACTCGCGAACCCGGAACCCGATCGTTGTGGACACCTCTCGACATGGTGCAGCAGCATGGTGTGACTTTGGGCGTTTCCAAAACTTAGAGACTTAGCTTTGCAGGTGGCTAGAACGGGTTCATGGGAAACATCGGTCCCTTAGCTTTGGTGGCTAGAACTGCTTATACATGGGAAAAAACAGAGTTGCCCGAAAATCTCACAGGAAACATCCATTTGCCCAGTGGCCCTTCCGCAACCCCCGTTGACAAGCGGCGGAATTATGAATTTCTCGCGTAGGTCCAGTCCGTCTCCTGCCGCAGGGCGGCATATGCTTCCCTTCCCTAACCTCCTCAAGATTCGATTCGGAAGCTCAGTTCCTTTTCATCAGCCAAGGGGCTCGAAACCAATTTCAGGAATCACATCCAAGCAAGAACCAGACTCTGGGGAGCATTCAACCGCAGAAAACTGCAGCTTCTTGTAGGTGCCTCGGCAGACTTGACGGGCAAGGCTTTGCATGGTCGCTCGAGCAAACCACAGTGGCAAGCAGCACGCGGAAGGGTAGGTGCAAGAACGAGAACCACAGTGAGAAACAACATTCCCCGAAACATGCATTCACTGTATTTGTGGTGAGTCCCTTAAACGTTTTCGAGGTGTTTGTAGTATTCTGCAGGGGTATGGCGCAACGGCATTGGTTTTCGCGATCCCCCAACACTTGCCATTGCACATTGCAAGGCTGACTGTAAGTATGCGACAATGACTTTGAGCCCACCTCGTTTGGATTAGATATGGTGACCCATGGAATGTACTTCATCGGCTTGGCGGTAGTGCTAGCACATCGACGTTTCCTCTGTGCAGGGCCCAGTACCATACCGGGGAATCCATCTTGCCACTGTCGTTACACATATTCATTTACCTCTCTGTGACGCATTTTCAGCATTGGTTGTTGGGTTTGCGAGGCATGTAAGTGGGGCCCCTTTTGCGTGTCGGCTTGCAGCCCTGGAATCCGATGACGGCTTCCAGGGACAGGTTACTAATACGTGGTTCAGCTAGTATGGGCAATATGCCATCTGCATGACTTACAGCTGACGATCATATTTAGTTCTCGGTGTGACATATCAAGTGGCACAGGGCCGTACACTTCACGTTGTACCCGTCTCTTGGTCCTGAATCAAGTGAGACCTCTTGAACTACAAACACGTTGTCAAATTTGGAATGAATTGGGATTGGCTTAACATACTCGTCATTCAAACTCTGTTTAATCCGTGTTGCCCCTCGGCCGGCCAAGGGACTGCTCTGTGTTCGAGCTTTAATGGGATACCTTAGAATTCTCTGAGTCTCTGAGGATGCAAAATGCTGAGTGAAGCTGTCAAATGCTATCACTCATTGCGCCTCATTCTTGGCGAGTTGATGAAGTCAGCAACCCTAGGAAGTGACTCCAAGAAGTAGCTTCCCCGCTTTGGAGCAAGTCTGTGCCAGAAGAGACCTTACCCCAAGTACAAACATCAGCATTCATCTTCACCTGCAGGCTAGCTTTGTTCTTTGCACCACTTGCCAATGTCTCGGGTGTCCGCTTGGCAAGTAAACATAGGCAATTCCGCTCCCGAAAGTTCATTGAGTGCTGCCTTGCAGCAGGGCAATAGGCCCATGAAGGGTGCAGTCGATTCTTGAGGGTTTGCAGCCCGCATCATATACCCATATACCCTGCTTTGAGAACGACAGTACCTTTTCTTCCCCGGTCGTGCTCAAGTTCTGACTGGCCTCAGTGATTGGTCCTGCAATGCCATGATATGAACACGATGACCAGCAAGCCGGCACCAGTCATCTATTAACCTGCCAGCTGCATCTTTTCCATCCAGACCCGTCTTTCTTTTTGTGGCAGTACCGTTTTTGGGGCAATCAATGCCAACACATTTTTGGACGCTGCAAGGTGACACGCCCCGGAGCGATCAAATGTGTCGCAGTCCTGCGGCGCCCGCTTTTTGAAGCAGAAGCAGCAAGGCCTTGAGATCGGGGCCGCTGGACTCACGTTGAGTCGCCTTGTGAAGGAACCATGGGGTTTTGGTGTCCTTTTAGAAAAATAGATGGCCCTGGTAAATGAATAAAGCCAGAAGAATAGATGGCCCGGGTAAATGAAACAAAGCCAATCATGCCAATCTAAACCAGTGCCGTCTATTTCTATGCAAACTAACCTAAAAAGGACACCTATGGCCATGGGAGGTTCGCACAAAGTCGCGATGAAAACCCCACGGGGCGCCATACCCAAATCGGATATCCAAATCCGGAGCCCAGCTGAGACAAGCAATTCGGCCTGGGCCATGGCCAATGTGATGGACATGTTGAACCACCGCCCCTTCTGGAAAGTTGCCGGCACCAAGACAGGGCATGTCCGATCTCCAACTGGTACAAACCACACATGCACAGATTTATGTATGTATGTATGCATATACACATGTACACTTCTATATACGCATACATAATACATGTATGTACATTCTCTGTTTATACATATTATATAAATATAGACATACAAAAGAGTTCCTGTAAGGAATTACAAGGGCGCCCGATTCCATTTACGGTTGCGATTCTCTCCTAACCCTCAAAATTGTCGATCAGGAATTTGGCATTCCAAGACATGCCTGGGGCGGCAGCGACGAGGGCTGCCATGAAGCGCAGTATGGAGGCTGGCAAGTTAGGGTAGAGGAGATGTGTGTAAACCACCACGACTTAAATGTACGGGCACTCAGCAACTCCAATTTTGTTCTCCTTGGTCATGCGGCACAATTGCGAACCCTTGCCGGGTTGACAAGCAACGGAAAGCATACCAGAATCTTCGGACGGCTAGAACCCCTGAAGTTCCATCCAAACGCCAGCCGGCGTGAAGAAGGCGAGAGCTACCTCGCAAGGACACCATCCAGGGCAGCGCGCGAGACTTGCCATACCTGGTCTCTGTCGAGCACAGCATTATCACTGGATATCTGGACTATGAACGAAGGCAACAAGTTTGGCATGCTACCTTTGCATCATTTCTCCCATGCCTGACCGCTTGCTACATCTTGCACGAGACTGGGGTGTGATTCCCTGATTTGTTGGCTTCCCGACTTCTTTGCAAACTACTGAGGTTGTACCGCGTGCCAAAGCTCGCATTAAACAATCAGGGTAAAGTGGCATACTTGACAGCCTTCTATCCCATGGTTGATTAGATGATTGGTGGTTTGTCGCTTGTTTGTGGGCTCAACTACTTCTGAGGGATTGCAACTGCTCACGAATAATAGCAACAAATGATGCGGGCTTTCCCTAGTTCTACAAACAAATTCTTCCCAATACTCAACCTTTTTCATGTGGCACCCCTTCCGGTCGATACACAAATTGCTCCACAGCACCAGGAGCTATCCCAGCCCTCTGGGGATCCGACTGCTCCACCTCCGTATCTGTCTGTCCCTGGCGACAGATTGGCCAATCGGCATGGCTTGATTCGCTCCAGTTGGTTACGAGACGGTGGCAGTGTCTCGCAATGGACTCTTCCAAATTGGTTCCTTTCCTTGCCACTCGTCTACCAAAGCCCTGATGTCTATCACTTGGGTATTTGAGTCAAAACTAGGGATCCCAATCAGTTCTCCGTTTCTATCGGACATCATGCAACCAACCAATGTTGGGCATTGTCATATCGAGTATTGGCTCCTCCGTGCGAAAATCCGGTCTCCCTGACCATGGAAGCACTGGCCAAACCTAGCATGCTGTGCTTGGCAAAAATGTCGAAGACCCAGGCATCCCAGGGCCATTGAACCAGGCCAAGCCGGCAAAATGTTGGTGCACTGTGTCGTCTTGTTGCTGTTTTAACACACTATCGTGACGTCGACAAGTACCCATGACAAGAGTTTGAAAGGGCATTTCTGTCAGGAAGCCTTTGATTCCGGAACCTTGTTGTCACGCCCTCACATCCATCAATTTCGGGATAGTAACCAGCCATGTCATGTCTGCCAGAGCCGTGTGGGAGCCTGACAAACGGGTGACAAAATCAAGGACCCTTTTTGGGAACACCTTTTGAAGGTGACGCTACATGTCGGCAGGCTATTAAAGGGGTATGCATGAGCCATCGGGTGAATCGAAAAGGTCCGCTTTCTTTGCTATTGCGCCAGTCACTGTCTATGAATTGCCGAAAAAGGCAGCTGCCTTGCTAGGCTACCATTCACCCGAGGTCAACATGAGCGCCCCTTTGGCGACTCCGGAAGCTTGCGAACCGAAGCCGTGGACCGTTTTCCTTAACATTTAGCATGTTGTCCGAATTCGTGCTTGATCTCTCGAGTTGACCATAATCAACCACGCCCAGGCACACAATCTAATGCTGTTGCTATTTGCAACCATGCGCTGTGCCAATAGTACGTATCAGCATGCGGCTAGCTCCTTGGCCAACAGCAAACTCGGATCTGCGAGTGCCAGTCGCCTGTACGGTCAAACGCATCACGCATCCCAACCCGGGGGATTTGTTGTCCAACGGTCCAAACTTACAAAACCATGCTTCTCCCCATAGCAATGGACAAAGAGCGCAGCATAGCATTCAGCATAGTCAATGGGATGACATCCCGACTCGACAAAACAGGTGGACCTGAGCAGCTGGGAAGAGGCCTGTGGCCAGGAGTGGAAATGGCACAATGGTTTTGCAACTTGAACGCTCGGATGCACAAATAGCATGAACAAAACAACACACAAATGACTGGCATTGAGACAACTGCTGCATCCCTTCGAACAAGGCAAGCACAGAAACAACTGCACGTGCTCGCAAAGAGGCGGGGATAATGGCTGATACCTGGATTTCCCCGCCCACTGCACCCCACCTGCAGCATGCGTTCTCGCTCCGGGTCGCTGTATGGCTGGGTCAGCTTTCCTCAGCCATGGAACACAATTGGCCGAGCGTGGATGTACGCAGAGATGCTGTCAAAATCCGGCCTACTTGTCTTTGCAAAGGATATTTCAATGCTTCTTCTACTCAACTCTGCAAATCTTCAAAGCAATGACCCGGGCTTGAAAGAGCAAAGGACGGTATCGGGAGATCGCCCCGAGCTAAAGAATACACCCTGCAAAGCTCACAAGGGAGCTGAATCAATCTAATTAAGCTATATCATAAAGGCTGCCGAATATGCTCAAACCCTTCTCAACTGCGAAGAAGCAGATGTTTCAAGGCTGAATGCCCGTCTCCTTTCAACCGTGAACAAGCAAGGGCCATACGGACGCTGAAGCCAGGCCGAAGATTAAGACCAGGAAAGTAGCCAAGGGCTGCTCCAAGAACCCGGGAAGGGGAGGAATCCTGAGTCTGCAAGTTTTTTTTGTTTTTTACAAAACAAAAAGCCTCCAAGTTTCTGTCCTTGCTTCATTTACTGCTCCTCATCCCTTCTCCGGCCAAAGGCTTATCTTGAATCAATCACTAAATTTCCTGAAACCAAACAAAGACCACCAATCAACCAACGGCTTCTTGCAGAAAGGGTCGCCTCCAACACTGCGCCTTGGGGAGACAACCCTCCCCGGAGCTTTTGGTGAACCGCGGCCCCCGGCGGTCGTCTTTGAGCTCCGGCGGCTTCCCCTGAGTGGTAAACCAGGCAAAGACCACGGACAGCGCCACCTCGGTTTCTCCGTGGGTTTTGGGTGTCGGGTGAATCACCGAACCCGCCGTTTCACCGAAACCCGTTCCATGGATTCCGGCGTTCTCTTTGTGGTGCAGTCCGAGGATGGGAATGCGTTGGCAAACGAAATAAGAAACCAAGCAATTGGAGATGATGATTCCCTAAATGCATGATTTGGAGTGCTGTGTCACCATACCGCATTGGGCGATTGCTTGTTCCAGGAGATCTTCCAAAGCACCCAAAGAAAACATCCAAAGACCCCTGGTCCTGAAAGCGGGCCAAAACTCCTTGGCGATAGACACATCGCATTTGCCAGGATCTGTTTCGCCCATGCCAAGGTCTGTTCAGCATCCACCGGCCAAATCCCTGTCCTGGTAGCCTACTTTCTATCATACATCTTGTACAACTCAACCAAAAACAAACAGCTACACCCACTCCCCTGCACCTCTTACTTCCTTCACCCCACAAATTCCGAACAAACAATTCCCAGCCCCTTACTTCGTTTCACGTCGCCCGCGCTCGTCCGCGCCAGGCAGCCAAGACGTTGCACACCGCGTGCTCCGTCATCACCCCCGGGAGACTAGCAAAGGACGCCAGGCCTGACGAGTCAAAAAGGGGACTTTGGCTGGATACTACTTGCCCAGTTCGCTTTTGTCACCTTTACTAAGAATGGACCAACAGGCGAACTACTTACCCAAAGGACTCAGAAATTAAACATTGACCTTTGAGTAGCTTTACTATCACTGGACTAACACAGGAAAACCCAAAGGTCAAAAGGTCGGCTTGAACGTTGACATCCATTTGCGGGCCTTTTTTGTCCCCTGGGGAAAAAACGAGAACATATGTCCAGTGATAGATTGCCTTAAGCAACTGGAAGTTGACCTTTGGGCAGCTTTACTAGGAATGGACCAACATGGGAAAGCAATGGTCAAAAGGTTGGCTTGCGACTGAGACTGTCAAGGAGTCTTGCATCTGTTGCTGTTCTTTTTGCCTTGGAAAGCCATTGCAAGGGGTTATTGGAATATCCAATATCGTAGAGGCTGTCTGACCAAAAACACACATCAAGCTCACACATGCTTCAGCGCCGCATTCCCATCGTGCCGAAGTCGGGGTGCCCCGACTCTCAAAAATTAGACCTGTTTAGGGCAGGCGATCTTCCACGCCCCGACCAGCCCTTCAAGAGTTCAGAATAGTTCAGGGCTAAAGTACAATTTAATTCATTTGAGGCTTCGAATAGGGCAGAATCCCTGGTGCTCAGCAAGGAATGAGGGAATGAACCCAGGAAACACATCAGTTGGATGGTTGATAAGGGACCCCCATAAACCATCCAACTGGCGGATTTCCTCTTTTTGCGGGAATCCCAAAACGGTTCATTTCATCATTCCCTACCTCTAGCAAGTCATGCATGGCGCCACTTTTCGGGCCTCCAGCTAGGTACAAGCCCGCGCTCAGCATCGCCGCCAGCGTCACTTGCTGCAAATCCTGCCCGAGTCATCCCCAGTCCCGACTCATTTTGGAGCCACAAGCCTTGAGACACAGCAAGGGGACCTTTTTGAGACCTCTGGACCGTTTGGTCTTGCCAAAAAAGGTGGGTCAACCATTTGGCTCCTTTGACCTACCTACCAAAGGCTCACGTCAAACGGACTGGCTGGGACTAGTCACTGGTCTCTGCCTCATGGACCTTGAAGCCAACGTCACGCTTGGATATCGATTCGAGTTCACTTTGTCTCCTGGCACACTGAGGGATCTTCTGGATCGTGCATGCCAAAAGTGCCTAAACAGGCCTTCGTTGCCTTGCGAACTTGTCTGGCTTCGGGTCATGGATTCATCCTGGGGAATTAATTCGTGGCCAAATGGGCCACTCTCGCCCTCACCAACATCAGTAGCTAGGAATGTGAGGTCTGAAGGGTCCTTTTGCCGATGCTCTTCATCACGCATTCCCGTGGGCACGGGCCAAAACCACTGCCCGAGTTTCCCATTCTCTCCAGGCTCTCAGAATAGGACCTTTCTTGGATGGCTTGCGCCAGTTGCCCCCTGGAGCCCACCCGCCCTTCGCTCTTGGGCGGCTTGTCTTTATCAAAGTACTGACTGCTTCGCATGGCCACCGGCAAACTGGCAAACCGCACTCATGTCTTGGGCTTCCCAACTTTGATTGGATTGAAAGCTTCACAGCCATCGCCTGCGTCAAGGGCACCACCAAGGCGACCAGCAGCGCCACCCCCATGAAGGACAACGGGTACACCTGAGCTGTTCGGTACACCCAAACGACTTGACAAAACACATATATCTTTCCATGAGGCAGTGAAGGACTGAAAATTTCTGGAGGTACCAACTGATTCAGACCTTGTTTGCTGGCATGCCAGTGAAAGCCACTTCTCCAAGCTTTGTTGGGGGCTCGTCCACTTCTGACCTCCCCTCCTCTCTCCTCCCCGCCCCTCCCCTCCCCTCCCCTCCCCACAAGCAGTGCGCAGTGCTGATGGGGCGACTCAGCCGGGGTGTATCCCATTTGGCCGGCCCGTGTGCAGTGAATACTTGATCCACGCTCCTTGGGAATGCAGTCCCAGAAAAGCAAGCCCCCTTTGAAAGCTGATCAACATGGCTTGCGACTTGCCCAATCGCGTGGAGAAGCACCTATTGCAGGGCATCGCCTTGCTGCAATTTCTCACATCCAAACTGCATTGATATCTCCCCCAGGTGAATTGTGAGCCATGCTGCTGCTGTGACGGTGTTCAGCGTCACAAACCTTGGCTTGCGGGCACGTGCATGTAAACGTGATATCCGCCGACCCCATGCCTGGTCCAGAATGGACCATGCTTTCGGCATGGGGGCGGTGTGTTCTGTGTTGCTTTTGTTGATATGCTTTCTATAAGTTTAATGTGAATATGATTATGTATATATATATATATAACCTATATGTCCCTTGGGGCGGCCCTTGGGGCTGGTTTCTACGTCGGCTGGATTTCTGGATTTCTGGATTTCTGGATTTCTGGATCTCTGGATTTCTGGATCTCTTTCTGGATCTCTGGATTTCTGGAATTCTGGATTTCCCCCCCTCCCCCCCCCCTCCCCCCCCCCCCCTCCCCCCCCCCCTCCCCCCCCCCCCCCTCCACCCCCCCCCCCCTCCCCCCCCCCCCCCCCCCCCCCCCCCCCCCTCCCCCCCCACCCCCCCCCCAAAAAATGGTAAAAGTAGGGGGCCTGGGGGGTGGCCTGTTGAGGGTTGCCTGTTCTGGTTTTTATGTTCATCTCAAATCTGTGTTCCCCCTTGTTCGTTTTGAAAAGAGGGTTTTTAGGGAGCTTATTTATCGTTTTCGTTAAGGTAATCATTTTGGTAATTGCCCCCCTTGTTCATTGTTGGGCTGGGGGCAAACATTTTTTTCATTTGAAAGAGTTAGCCCTTTTAGTAGTTATCAAGTTCTGGGGTGTTGGCGGTGGATTTGTTTTGTTAGTTTTTTCTCACTAATTTTCATTTATAGGTTAAAAGTTCAGTATAATTATAACATATAAGATTTTACATGTTATTATTATATTATGATTATAATTTCAGTTCAGGATAATAATCTAATTGGTTTGTCTTACTTCTTTCATACATCATTTTAAAAATAATATTAACATCTCTCACTGTATTCTGAACATTAAACTTTTTACTTTCAATAAATAATTTGATATTTTCTTTAACATCTTCTCCTTTCTCTTGACTATAACCCAACATCCATAATATATCGTAAATCGTGTCATATTTTTTCTTACTGATTTTAAGAAACTGTTTAACATAATCATAAGGTGGTATTTTATTTACAGTTAGAAATATTAAAATATCATCTTCTACATTTCTATTATGTATTCTTTTTATTCCCAACAGACATTTGATTAAAAATTGATTATCTCTCCAAGTTTTACAATTTTTACATATGTCTTCTTCACCATCCATTGAATAATTAATAATATTATTCACAATTTCATTAGGTAAACTCAATTTATACAATTCCATATTTTCTTTTTTGAAGTGACAACAATCATAGCATTTTTTATCGATATAATTATTGATTCCATCACCGTTCATTTTTCTCTTAATATATAAGGTAATATTTCTTTAAGTAGTTTTGGCTAGGGGGTTGCTGGTCGACTGGTCTGGGTTTCAGGTTTAATTTAAATGTCTTAACCTTCTTGTTAGATTATAAAACAATGTTTAATCATATTATAAGAAAATAATATTAATAAACAAAAGTTAATTTGACCCGTATTCAATCTCACCAGCGATACAACCACTATAACAACTCATACTATACTCACAAAAATAATGCTCGTATCCTTTTATTAATTGGTCTGTGTAAATTTCAATTAATTCGCTAAGAATATGTCTCAAATAATAATTGTTATTTCTATATGACCACCAACTGTTTAGGTTTGGAAAGCAAAATCCATTTTGTTTCCAATATTTTAATTCTTCAACTTTAAGACAATGTTTTAAAACTACACAAACTTCATATTCATTATTCTTACAGTATGATTTTAATGCTTGATAATACATTTTTCTATTTTTAAACCGTTCTTTAACTTCTTGTATATCAAATACTCTGTCAATGTTTTTTCTGTAATGTTTTAAACTAAAATGGTATCCTGTTAGTTGTGTAATATCATTATTTTGTATTTGTTGAATAATGTTTAACTGAAGCTCTGCTTTTTCTAGTCCTTCTTCAGGAATGTTTTTATCACTCATAAAATGCTCTTCTTCTTCTCTCAAATACCGACAATCAAAACATGTTGGTTTAATACAACCACCTATAAGATTACAAACATCAACAGGTAAAATATTAGCTAGTCCCACGACAGAGTTACATTTTTTATTTTTACAAGGACAATTATCATAATTAAACAGTGTCATTTTTTTTTCTCTTACTATATTATACCCATTTTTCTTTAAGTAGTTTTTATTTTATGTTGAGGGGTGGTGGTTTATATTGAAAAAATATTTTCTAACAATTTAATATAATGGCGAGATTAACAAAAGACCAAATAATCAGCAACATCTATTACGACTTAGACGAGGGTTTCGGAAGCACACAAGCGACACACAAGAAGGCAAAGGAAGAAGACCCAACAATAACAATAGACGATGTAAAGTCTTTCTTAAAGAAACAACCAAATAAACAAATCAAAAATTATAGAGGTACTAATTCCTATACCGCTCCATTCGCACGATATGAATATCAAATAGACATAATGCATATGTCACCTTTAGCAAAAGACAAGAACGTTCCACAGTATGCTTTAGTCGTGATTGACATCTTCAGTAAATTAGCAGATGTAATACCGATGGAGGAAAGAGACGGAGAGCACGTTTTGAAGGCGTTGAGAACAAGCTTTAAAAAGATGGGTTATCCGATGTCCGTGTATTCTGATGACGACGGAGCGTTTGCAACTAAAAATCAAGTTCAGGATTTCTTCAACAGTGAAGGAATAAACCACATCGTCACGAAGACCCACGCAAATGTGGCCGAGCGTTTTATTAGAACGATGAAAAACAAAATTCACGATAGAGTTAGGTTTAACAACATGAAATGGACCGACGCCCTAACGCCGGCATTGAAACAGTATAACAGCACATCACACTCATCAACAAGGATGACACCGACCGATGCACACAAGGACGACAATGAAATAAATGTAAAGGTCAATCTTAAACTACGAGAAAAAAACAAAAGAAAGTATCCCAGAATAGTGGAGAACGACAAGGTAAAAGTGTTTCAAAAGAAAAGGGGTAATTACACCGACAGAAAGGAGTATAACTCTAAATGGTCTAATAAAATATTCAATATCGATAAAATTGAATATGATATTATGGGTAATAAAACTTACAAAGTAGCAGGAATAAACAAACCGCTTTTGAGACACGAAATTTTGTTAGTTAATGATTAAACATAAAGTTTCAGTTCCTTGTCATATTCTATTTTGTCATAATCCATTGTTGATTGCTTCGGTTCTGTAATTTCTTTGTTATTAAGTTCGTTTAAATAATTTTGGTGTTTCAAAGTTTTTTCGTGTCTTGCTTTTGCCCTCCAAGACACACAACAATTACAAATCAAACATGTATGTGTGCGGTCTTTTATTTTCTCAATATATCGTTATATTATGAATAAACCCCTGTATCTTCATCATAGTCAATTTGATAAAATGCCATAGTGGAGGACTTCGGCTCTTTTATCTCTTTGTTGTTGAGTTTGTTTAAATACACTTGTTTCTTATTTTTAAATTCGCCACTGGTTCTATCTACTTCTTTACTTTGATAACTGTTTGTGAATGGTTTCTTCTTTTCCATTTCTTGTAAGATTTCCAAAATATTATTATTCTGTTCTAAAACCTTTTTTAGTTGTTTAACAATCTTATCTAATCCTTCAGCCATGTAAAATATATACTAAATTATAAAACTAAACTTTTAAAACTAAATGTTGCAATTATGTTAAATCTACTCTTTAAATACTAATTTTTCATTATTTGTTTAACAGTTTCCTGAGTTTCCTTTCACCATTATCTGACGGAGTAACCCCCCTCCCAAATCGTATAGCTATATTATGAACATCTGTTTCTAAGTTTATACTGTCTTTAGTTTTATCAATATTCATTTTCTTATCATTTCTACTTATTTTGAAACTTGTTGGAATACACGAACATTTACAGTTTCCTTTCTTTTGTATTTCTAATTCATTTTTCATTTCTAAGATTTTTTTACACATTGGACAAGCAAACTCAATAACTGATGTTTCTTTAAAAATTTCTTCTTTTTCTTCATCGGTTGAAGAAACAACTGATTCTGTCTTATTCTTTTTCTTTCTTCCCATCTATATTAATATTTATATTTTTAATATATTGTATCACAAACTTAATTAATTCTAAAACAAAATAGCATACTTTTTTAAATCTATTATCAGTTAGTATTACTTGTTCTATATTTTCTACTTTATCTATTATATCAATATAATCCGAATAACTTCTATTCATATAAAATAATAAATATAAAATATTTTCTAAATAACTTTAATATTATTTTATTATGTCTGATGTTCCAATAATAAAACCAATAAATATAACTGATTACGATTTCAAACAATCTAAATATGAACATGTACCAAAACTACCTTTTCGCTCAATTGTTGTTGCTTCATCAACGGGTGGCAAAACAGTTTTAATTCAAAACCTTATCCTAAATGTTTATAGGGACTGCTTCGCCCGTATATTCATTTTTAGCCCGTCGGTTCATAATGACCCTACCTTCGTTGAAGTCAAGAAATATCAAAAAGATAATATGAAGGTTGATGACGAAAAAGAAAAGTTATATTATGACACCTACCAACCTGAAGAACTGGAAGAAATAATTAACACACAAAGAAAGATAATTCATTATATGAAAGAACAGAAGATGAAGAAACTACATTCAATTTTAATCATTGTTGATGATTTTGCAGACGACCCTAAATTTGTTAGATATAGTAAGTTATTCATGGACTGGCAACGAGAGGCAGACACGACGCCATTAGTTTTTGCTTAAGTGTTCAAAAATATCGTGTCCTTGCTCCAATCATTAGGTTGAATTCTAGTTCGTTGTATATCTTCAAGTTAAAGAATGTATCAGAGTTAATGTCATTCATTGAGGAAAACTCCGCCATCGTTGATAAAGAGCAACTGTTAAATATGTATCATAAAGCGGTAGATGATAAGCCCTACTCCTTCTTTTATGTTAATATGAAT